TTCTCTTGCTGTCGCTTGGGAGACCATGCTTAAGCTTAGTACTCGCACTTTCCTCTAATAAAATAATCAAAATAACTCCGGAATGTGGTCAATATTTATAAAGTTATAGTACAACAGGGCCACACTGCTTTACAAAGAAATAAATGCCACTTTTGGCAAATTTTGCGATAGTTTATTTTATTTTTTGGTTGGTTTTTGGTTGCCTTTTGGTTGAGGTGCAGCAAATGCAACAAAATAAACAACAACAACAAAAAGTCGTCCGATTTTTTCTCGTCGCATTTTTCACTCTATTTATAGCGAGTAGATGGAGGCACGGAGGAAGCGGAGAGGCAGAAGCAGCAAAAAGGAGAACACCAAGTTTTTTCCATTTTTCCAGCTTTTGGCGCATTGCCAAAGTTCTGTGTTTTTTTTTTCTCTTTCTGTTGTATGAGGGGGTAAGTAGGGGGTCACCTGCTCCATAACCAGTTTGTTTGCCTTGGCAACCAGTTCCACCCCATGCCAAAGCCACCCACCCACTCAGGAGGAGGATGGTTGGTGGCTAAAGAGGGGGATCAAAAAAGTTGCAATGAAACTAAAATTCAGGCCACAAATTAAGCGCATTTTAAGTAGTTGGTTTCGGCTGGGATCGACTCTGAAAAAGAGGAATAAAGGCAAAGGTGTGGTGCGATGCGATGCGGTGCGGTGCAGCGCAAGGGTTAAATGGCCACAGAGGTCGTCTTTGTTGGTGCTTCAGTGGGTCACACAAGGGAAATGAGCTCATTGGCACACATTTTCCAGTTCATTTGCGTTGATTAAAGCTTTTTGGGCCTGACATTTGTTTGCCGTTTGCCGTCTGTCGCCCCTACCCTCTCTATCCCTGTCCCGTTCTGTCTGAAAGCCAATTAATAATTTCGCACACAAACAAGCGTCGAATTTTCGAACTCGAATCTAGGCGCTTAGGCAAAGGTCAACAGAAAAAACGCGTTGAGAGTGGAGCCGCCTTTGAGCTGTGACTAATTCTCTCCCCGAAAAAAGAGTGAGAGACGAATGCAAGAGAGAAAGAGTGTGTGAAAAGCAACGGCAAAAGTTTGTCAGTGACGTCAGTGGAGCGATAATGAAAGAAGTTCTCACTGGCCGCACCACTGATCATGCGGGCACGTGTGTGAGTCAGAGCGAACTAACCAAATAGGAGGGAAACCACAGAGAAAGACACCACGTTTACACGGAAGCATTTCGAATAGTACAAATATGTATGCATGTCAAATTATTGTACAGACCACTGCTGTACGTCCACATTGTTATCTGTTAAAGCGATAAGCATTTTCAATTTTCACTTCAATAACCAGAAATTTGTCCCGTTTGAATGCATCGTGTAACCGATCCACGATCGCAGAGGGAGAGAGGTCAAGCGAGAGAGAGCAATAGAAATATGGTAATACGGTAAAAATTAAGAGCCCATATCAAATGTTAAATACTCAGGCCAATTCCCGTTCTTCTTGTTCGTTTTCGCAAGACGAATGCATCGTGTAAACGATAATCGTAGTACCAGCAGCCAGCAGAAGAGAAGAGAGCGAGCAAGTGAAAGATAACATACATAACTGTTGAGTGTGTCGTGTCGTGTCGTCTCGTGTCTCTCTTGCTCTACCTATCTCTCTCTTTCACCCTGACAAAGGTTAAATGCTCAATTTGTTGCTCGTTTATTGTTGATTTTGTTTTTGCTCATTTGATTGTGTGCCATTTGTTGTTATTTTTAACAAGTTGTAATTATCAGCTCAGACGGGTCTCCTTAGGCGCTTAAGCCCAATATATAATCGAAGAATTACACAGAAAATATTACTGTCACTAACCGGTTGGTGGTTTGGTCTAAAGGGGGGGAAAAACCCCTGAGCCCAACTAGATGACGCAAACAGCCAGATATCAACACTCCACTCACCCGATAGATCTGTATTTCCTCCAGCACCACCTCCGATTCCTTGAGCACACGCTCCACCTCATCGTACACCTCGCGCTCTGTCTCTGTGGGCGCGGCGTTCTCAAAGTCCAGGAAGACATCGTAGGATTTGGCGGCGCAACAATTGGAGTCATCGCGTGACAGCAGGCTCAGCAGTTTGCCCATTTTTTGTGTGGATGTGTGTGTGTTTTGATTAAACTTATTAAGTTATGGATCTTGTGGTATTTGTTGTATTATTTTTGGGTTATTAATTAGCACTCGAGGCAACTGCAAATGGGGAGAAGGATGGGGAGAACACATTAGCAGCTGTTGCACCTGTTGTCGCAAAGGGCTTTCATCTCTGATCCCAGCAGCTGCAAAAGGGAGAACGGGGATCCAAGAACTTGTTTCATCTTGGTCGAGGACAAAGGAAACGGACAACAGGGGTGGGAAAGGCACGAAACACACACAAAAAAACAAATGCCTGACAACCCCCGCCCCCTTCGGAATGGGACAATCAATTCTCTTTTGACTCCAGCACAGCAGCGGAAAATGCTCCGCGGGAGGTGCAGAGAGCAGAGCGTCCAGGGTGTATTTTTTATATGGTGAGGGATATTTTTGTTTTCTCAAGATGACTATTTTCTTGTTTTCCACTCTATTTTTTGGCATTAACTGACAACAAAAATGTTATGGAGCGCTCTCTGGCAACCTTATATAAATAATACACCTTGAGCATGGCCATGTGTTTGTCGTATCTCTCTCTCTCTCTCCAGCATGCTGTTTAAGTGTATATGTGTGCGTGTGTGGGGTTCGCAGGAAACGCGTAAACAACAGCAACAAGAACAGCAACACTTTTCACACATCATGCTAAGTAGGAAAATACCATTTTCCTTCACATGCAGCTCGAGTAAACATTTTACACACACACATACGCGGACACTACCCCTCTTCACACTTTAATTGCGAAAATAAAACAACAACAAAAGAGCAAGTTTCTTGTTATTAAACTGTTCCTTTTTGTGTGTGTGTGTGTGTGTGTGCACTGCTTTTGTTTATCTGCAGGCCTTATCTGGCAAACGGGTGGCAAGGGAAGGGGTGCGCTGGATGCCCGTCATTTCTCTTTTCATTTTCTGCTATTTTGCGCGCTTATCTGTACTCTTTTTATTATTTATATTTCCCAATGCCCAGAGGGTTTCTTCTGCATTGGAATTTTTTTAGCAGCTTATCACCTTTTTGCACCACCTTTTCGCGTAATCTGTGTTTGATAGACTTTAGCGCAGCGGCGCCAATGGCATGGTTGGATTTTCAATGTTTTCACAAAATGTATATTTAAAAAAAATATTTAAAAACACACACACGATACACAGCCCGGCGCCAACGACGCGACAATTTCAAAATCAATTGCTTAAATTGTTATTCTGTGCATGGAAAAATTTTTTTGAGCACCCAACGTAAATTTATTGAACCTATTTTATTTATTAATTCTTGGACGAACGCGCGCAGCAAACAATGTGGATATCAACGGACTTTTCTGAATTCAGAAAAAAGAAGTTGTTGTCCCGGGCCAAAAAATTTGTGACCGTCAGTGTGCCCGCAGACCCATTGATAAAATATATCGTCTGACACTCAGAAATGTACCAAAATATACTGTATCATTTTAAATATATACCATGAATATACTGACGAATTATCCAAGTTCCATCATACATATTGCTCGTTTTTGATATTCCATCGAATATTATTAGCTAGATAGAACATTAAGCCATGCCCTCATAATTGCATTCGATTAGTGAATCAATTTTCTACTTGACTGGCCTTTTCTAAATAATAGCTTTTATTGGATTTCTATATACCGTCGAAAATGAAATTTAATAGATTGATGAATATTGACAAAATATACCATTATATACCGATATACCGTAAGTATACCATCGGTTCAATATTGACTTCTAAAAATGCCGAAAAGTATTAAAAATATACTGACGAATTAAATTTATATTTTACATATTCCTCGATTTTGATATTCCGTGGAATATTAATAGCTATATAGCACATTTAGCCATGCTCACATAATTTTATACGATTAATGAATCAGTTTTCTACTTGACCGGCACATTTAATACTTGGCTTTGCTTGTTTTTGCCTCAATTTTGGTTTCTCAACAACAATATAGCGACTCGTATCATGGAAAACCGAGCTTAGCCCACTTAAGCCCCCTATATTTAAATAGTTCAACTACACGAGGTAAATGGCGGAATATATTAACGATTGTAAATTCTTATAGATCCATCCTATCCTTCCCTTTAAGTTGCCAAACCCCACGAATCTTTCATCTGAACTGCGCTAAAATGATTACCCCCTTGGCTTATAATAGGTTAATAGTTCTCCGGCAAGCATTGAAACCATATTGCTTAATTTTGATGTTCCGTCAAATATAATAAGCTACATAGAACATTTAGCCATGCCCACATAATTTTATCCCATTGATGAATCAATTTTTTACTTGACTGGTTTGTTTTAAATGTTTTCTTTGCGGCGATTGCTTTAGATGTTTTTGCCAACAAAATGTAAGAGAGTAATCGTTCCTACTGCTCATTTTTTCGTTTTTTTTTATTTTGAAAAAAAACTATGATATGAGATCGTATAGGTCTGAAAATATATGCATTAGATAGGCATGTTTCGACATGAGCATACAATCTTGTAACTATAAAATCTGTTCCATTGGTTTTTTTTTTTTTAATGACTCTTTCTCTTGCTTTTTACCTATTTAGAATAAATGTAATATACAATATATTACAAACATCTCATCAATTCCCACCATTCGAAATATTTTATTCTTCATAAAATGATATTTTCAGAAATGAGAGTCTTAGCTAGCTAATAATACTAAACCAAATATAAATATCAATTACGGTGAACATATTATTTCGTTTACTACCGTGAAAAATATTTAGTTTTTGAATGTTCGCGGTAGTTTTAGGTGTTGAATGTATCTATCACATATATCAATACTTTTAAATAGAAACAGTGCTGTAAGGCTTTGCACTATCGCACTTCTTACATCCCATCGCTATTTCTACTGCACGCTGGAAACCGTGAATTTTCCTTCAATTTTGTTCATTTTTCTGACTAAAATCCTTGCAAATAGGAAATAAACCCCACTCGATATGGCCGCGGACAGCAAAAGCTCCCAACTGGACGATATACAGAAACTGCTGCTGGAGCGCATAGCCAAGAATGACACGAGTGGGTTCACGCAGCTGCTCACCCAGCTGAAGGACGTTAACTTTGTGGACGACACGGGCATGTCGCTTCTGGCGCATGCGAGCTTCAAAGGCAACAAAGAGGCTGTGCAAATACTGCTAGACATGGTGAGTTTGTCCACATCGCAGTAGCGGAATGATCTCCCAAACACCACCCTTTTCCCCCAACAGGGCGCCGATATCCACTTGAATCAGCATGGGGCCGACTATACACCTTTGCACTTTGCGGCCCTGTCCGGCAGCACTGACGTGTGCCGCCAGCTGCTGGATGCCGGCATCAATCCGAGCAGCATCAACAGCGTCTCGCGCACCGCCTCACAGATGGCCGCCTTCGTGGGAAACCATGCCTGCGTGGAGACAATTAACAACTATATTACCCGATCTGGACTGGAGTACTACACACAGGCGCACGGCCAGCAAACGGAGCCGTTAATTCCGCCTGCGCTGCTATCAGCCTTTCACACCTTTGTCATCGAAATCAATCTGCACCCCGTGAGAATCGCACTGAACGCCCAGTCCCTAGGACTTCTCAGGATACTAAGCAACCTGCGCAAAACCCTGGCACTAATGTGCGAGAAGGAGATGCAGAAGACACACGACATGAACGAGCTTCTGGCCTTCAAGTTCCACTACCAGGGCTGGATCGTGGCAGAGCTGATCCGCTGTGAGGAGCAGTTCAAGGCGCAACACAAGGAGAAGACTGGCGGAGGCGAGCCGGAGGTTAACAAGAACGACTTTATCGACCGACTTTGTGACCGTCAGTGTGCCCGCAGACCCATTGATAAAATATATCGTCTGACACTCAGAAATGTACCAAAATATACTGTATCATTTTAAATATATACCATGAATATACTGACGAATTATCCAAGTTCCATCATACATATTGCTCGTTTTTGATATTCCATCGAATATTATTAGCTAGATAGAACATTAAGCCATGCCCTCATAATTGCATTCGATTAGTGAATCAATTTTCTACTTGACTGGCCTTTTCTAAATAATAGCTTTTATTGGATTTCTATATACCGTCGAAAATGAAATTTAATAGATTGATGAATATTGACAAAATATACCATTATATACCGATATACCGTAAGTATACCATCGGTTCAATATTGACTTCTAAAAATGCCGAAAAGTATTAAAAATATACTGACGAATTAAATTTATATTTTACATATTCCTCGATTTTGATATTCCGTGGAATATTAATAGCTATATAGCACATTTAGCCATGCTCACATAATTTTATACGATTAATGAATCAGTTTTCTACTTGACCGGCACATTTAATACTTGGCTTTGCTTGTTTTTGCCTCAATTTTGGTTTCTCAACAACAATATAGCGACTCGTATCATGGAAAACCGAGCTTAGCCCACTTAAGCCCCCTATATTTAAATAGTTCAACTACACGAGGTAAATGGCGGAATATATTAACGATTGTAAATTCTTATAGATCCATCCTATCCTTCCCTTTAAGTTGCCAAACCCCACGAATCTTTCATCTGAACTGCGCTAAAATGATTACCCCCTTGGCTTATAATAGGTTAATAGTTCTCCGGCAAGCATTGAAACCATATTGCTTAATTTTGATGTTCCGTCAAATATAATAAGCTACATAGAACATTTAGCCATGCCCACATAATTTTATCCCATTGATGAATCAATTTTTTACTTGACTGGTTTGTTTTAAATGTTTTCTTTGCGGCGATTGCTTTAGATGTTTTTGCCAACAAAATGTAAGAGAGTAATCGTTCCTACTGCTCATTTTTTCGTTTTTTTTTATTTTGAAAAAAAACTATGATATGAGATCGTATAGGTCTGAAAATATATGCATTAGATAGGCATGTTTCGACATGAGCATACAATCTTGTAACTATAAAATCTGTTCCATTGGTTTTTTTTTTTTAATGACTCTTTCTCTTGCTTTTTACCTATTTAGAATAAATGTAATATACAATATATTACAAACATCTCATCAATTCCCACCATTCGAAATATTTTATTCTTCATAAAATGATATTTTCAGAAATGAGAGTCTTAGCTAGCTAATAATACTAAACCAAATATAAATATCAATTACGGTGAACATATTATTTCGTTTACTACCGTGAAAAATATTTAGTTTTTGAATGTTCGCGGTAGTTTTAGGTGTTGAATGTATCTATCACATATATCAATACTTTTAAATAGAAACAGTGCTGTAAGGCTTTGCACTATCGCACTTCTTACATCCCATCGCTATTTCTACTGCACGCTGGAAACCGTGAATTTTCCTTCAATTTTGTTCATTTTTCTGACTAAAATCCTTGCAAATAGGAAATAAACCCCACTCGATATGGCCGCGGACAGCAAAAGCTCCCAACTGGACGATATACAGAAACTGCTGCTGGAGCGCATAGCCAAGAATGACACGAGTGGGTTCACGCAGCTGCTCACCCAGCTGAAGGACGTTAACTTTGTGGACGACACGGGCATGTCGCTTCTGGCGCATGCGAGCTTCAAAGGCAACAAAGAGGCTGTGCAAATACTGCTAGACATGGTGAGTTTGTCCACATCGCAGTAGCGGAATGATCTCCCAAACACCACCCTTTTCCCCCAACAGGGCGCCGATATCCACTTGAATCAGCATGGGGCCGACTATACACCTTTGCACTTTGCGGCCCTGTCCGGCAGCACTGACGTGTGCCGCCAGCTGCTGGATGCCGGCATCAATCCGAGCAGCATCAACAGCGTCTCGCGCACCGCCTCACAGATGGCCGCCTTCGTGGGAAACCATGCCTGCGTGGAGACAATTAACAACTATATTACCCGATCTGGACTGGAGTACTACACACAGGCGCACGGCCAGCAAACGGAGCCGTTAATTCCGCCTGCGCTGCTATCAGCCTTTCACACCTTTGTCATCGAAATCAATCTGCACCCCGTGAGAATCGCACTGAACGCCCAGTCCCTAGGACTTCTCAGGATACTAAGCAACCTGCGCAAAACCCTGGCACTAATGTGCGAGAAGGAGATGCAGAAGACACACGACATGAACGAGCTTCTGGCCTTCAAGTTCCACTACCAGGGCTGGATCGTGGCAGAGCTGATCCGCTGTGAGGAGCAGTTCAAGGCGCAACACAAGGAGAAGACTGGCGGAGGCGAGCCGGAGGTTAACAAGAACGACTTTATCGAGCTGTTCGTGAAGCGGGTGCTCAAGGAAAACAAACAGGGTCAGCTGGACTACGTGGAGTACACGTTAAGGGAGTGTGCGCGGGAGTTTCCCGTGCGGGAGTGCACCATCTTCAGGCAGATAGCCACCCAATTTGGAGGCAAGGATGCCCCGCCGGCACTGGTTATCCTCCGCAATGCCATCAACGGAATGCGCGGCTTTGTGGTGGGTTTTATCTGTTGTTCTCATTGAAAAGCATTCCAATCGCTCAACATTTTGGCATTTTGCAGGACGAAACCAGCTACTGCAGCACCTGTGGACAAGAGAAGCCTGACAAGAAGTGCTCCAAGTGTAAAGCGGTGCAGTATTGCGATCGGGAGTGCCAGCGTCTGCACTGGTTCATGCACAAGAAGAGCTGTGCCCGACTCTTGGCCGCCTCGCTGGCTGGAGCCACGACCCAGGTCCAGTCGAAGGGGCCCATTGATACCTCAGAGCTGCAGGAGCAGCTATCCAAGCTGTCGGCGTAATCGCTATGTCAAGTGTTTCTTTTTTAATGGAAATATATTTACTATAAAAACATGAAGCTTTTACAGATCTGTTATTCATTCAAATTTACAGACCAATGTTACTCCTAACAGACCTGCTACCGCGCAGAGTTTTACAGCACTGACGGATTTCTCTGCTTTAGAGCACTGCTCATGTTAAGAGGACAATCGAGAAATAATTATTTATTATTAAAAAATGGTGAAAGTATGGTTTATGGACGACGAGCAGGAGACCGATCAGCGACTGGAGCATCATCGCAGTCCGCCGGACTATCTGGAGCTTCCTGAACTGTACCAGAAGACGGGCGTGGAATATTTCAAGGCATGTGTGATTCCATTTACTTTGGACTGACCTTGAAGTAAGCTTATCTTAAACGATCGTTTCTTTCCGGCAGATCAACGCTGACGATTACCAAAACGACGCGATTCTAGGGGAGCTGCGGGCCAAACGTGGCTATACCTACGATGATGAGGCAAGATCTGAGTCCATTTTAGAGAGCACCTGTTAATCTCCTCTTCGTTGCAGATCACCTGCTCGGAGAAGTGCCTTCCGGACTACGCCAATAAGCTGAAGAACTTTTTTACGGAACATCTGCATACGGACGAGGAGATACGTTTGGTATTGGATGGATCGGGCTACTTTGATGTCCGCGAGTAGGTTATCTAGCGACTGTTTATTCGGGATTTGCTCAAAATGGTAATTTTTCGTCGTTTCAGCAACGAGGAGCAGTGGCTGAGAATACAAGTGGTTAAAGGAGATTTGATTATTATTCCGGCTGGTATCTATCATCGTTTCACGTTGGACTCTAATGTAAATTGCATTCCTTATGGCAAAATTATTGTTTTCTAATCGTTACTCTCGTATCCCCATAGAACTTTATCAAAGCCCGTCGCTATTTTGTTGGAGAGCCCGTCTGGACCCCGCATAATCGTCCTGCAGATGATTTGGATTGCCGCAAGTCCTACCTGAAGCATCAAGCTGAGAGTTTTGTGCAATTAAACCAGGTCTAATGTGCATTTTATATATACCAACTTATGTGTATTTTTGAATTTGTATAAATATTAAACCGTCAACTAAAATTCTAATGGTTTTAAAAAATTGTAATTAGCACAAGCGAGAATATATGTAAGTAAGACCCGGAATGAGTCTCGGAGCCGATGACTGCCGCATACTCTCCATCCCTCTGTTTCGCTGTTTGCAAACGGGACGAATTTATTTGATAGATACTCTTGTGAGGGGGATCTCTTTCACATAAAACACATAGAGAGAAGGAGAGGAACCCCGATGGTTAACTATTCCCCTACATCTGTCTCTCTCTTTTTCACTTCTCACACCAACACCTGCTTTGCTGCTATTTCGCTTCCCTCCGCCAGGGGCGCAACATGCTCTACGAAGAGACAGAGAGAGTGAAAGAAGGGGTAGGCGTGTTTAAGGGGTAATTTATGTGCAATTTCATATGTTCATTCTGGCTATATTAATGATCTGATAGATATGGGTTTTCTCAATTTATTCCACTGGATTTCATTTCATGTCACTTATTCAGATTCAAAAAATTCCACTTTGGCGCGCAGTGGTAGCGATTATCTAGTCGATAGTATTGATAGCAGCAGTGTTCCGGAACATAGCAACGGAATGACCTACATTACGCTTACCCTAGGGAAAGATATTACAGAGTTAAGGAAACGTTTTTCATCACAGGGTTTCAACGCAATTTTGTAGATTATGGTTTGTATGGTTGTATAAAAAAGCATACTCCGTAAATATGTTGTTGATATGTGTCAAGTGTGTAGTTACCGTGTAGTTGCCATGTAAAAAAAGGATTTTTTTGTTGAAACATAATATTCTGAGCTATTTAATTGAATAGAAATTGATAAAAACTTTGTGTTCCGAGCTGAAGGGCCTAGATATCCAGTTACATTGGACAGAATCTCCAAATCGAGAAAAATGATTTCCGATCATGGATAGAGAACGATTAAACCATTGTGGAACAGTGGGTATTACAATACACTACACGAATATGATTAAATTTTTGTGAAGTTCAGATGAAAGATATCGTGGAAATTTTGGTTGGTAAGTAAATGGAAGGATATAAGAATATACAATACAATAGTCTGCGGCTTACTTGCTTAAGTCGGGTGGTATATTTATGGTATATTAATAAATGAGAAGGTATATTGCATTATATTTCTGAGAGTCAGACCGTATATCGTATCAAGGACGCTATATGGACTCACCCTCTTGCTCCATTCACCATTCACATCGAATTCTAATCGAGTTTCTGATCGTTTGCTGTGAAAATCTAAGCTTTTAAAAAATGTCGGAGAAAATACATGTCCAAAAGTGGATAACGGTCGGTTTTCACACTGGCGCTTCCATTGGGCTTATATGAAAAAACGGCTAAACGTACGCGTTTCAGGTGTCACTTTTGAAAATTACACAAAAAAGGTAGAACATGTGTAGTCAGCGTGTAATTACCATATAAAAACATTAGTTTTGTGAGCATGGTTGTTGACCCTTTTTTGAACAATCCAATAAAGATGAGAACTTAAATTTAACCAGTCTTGTAGGAAAGTGATTTATCAATCGGATAAAATTATATGGGCGGGGCTGAGAGATCTATCTAGCTAGTTATACTCGACGGAATATCAAAAACGAGGAATATGTAAAATAGAATTTGAATTCGTCAGTATATTTACGGTATATTTTGAAAAGGAGGCGGTATGTTTCGGTATATTTCTGAGGGTCAGACCGTATATTTGATCAACTAGCTCCGCGGTCATGATGTCGTTGTCCATCGATGTTGTCAAAATCAAACATCGATGTTGGATTGATACATCGGATTGATTCTTCGATGCATCGATGTATGACCGGTGTTTCAAAACTTTCCCATTTGATTATAAAACGAATATTCAACAAAGGAACATTATGCTTTCATAGCAGTCTTTTACATATCATTGTAGATCAGAGATAACTAATATTTCAAATAAGTACTATTTGTCAATGCTTTGCAAAAACCAAAATGCGACTTAGTCGCGCAGGTGAAAGTCTATTACGTTTTCGACTTCGTTCAAAATACACCCAGAAGATGCCATTAATGTCAAAAATTGCATTGCAATTTTGTATAAATTAGGATAGGTACTTTTTATACCGTCCCAAAAACACGAAGGATTTTGCAAAACATCGATACATCACTCAACATCGGTAGCAGCAAAAACATCGGAAAACATCAGTAAACATCGGAAGAAAAACATCGATGCTCGATGCATCGATGTGTTTTACATCACTACCCACAATATTATCAAATTCTCAAATTTTTTTGAACCGAGCGGTTGCTGCGCGTCGTTGTAAAGAAAATACAACTAAATAAGTATATAGAGAGCAGCCTTTAACCTTTTTTTTTTTGCTCCGGCCGCGGCCACAACAACATTTTCCAAAATTTTCCGAACGTGGAGTAACTATTTTTTTCCTCCCACTCTGGGCACGCCGCGAAAACAATAAACAATAAATTAAATATAATAAAATTGTTATCTATTGCCGACAAAATGAGTTCTACAAGTGCATGTTTGTTGGTCTCTCTCACTCTCTGAAATCGTAAACAAATTGTGAAAAAAGTCAATATACGACATAGATATTTAAATAAATCGCGTTCGTTGCCGATAAAATATTTGTATTTGGAGGAAGCCGCAACAACAGCAGCGACGTCAGCAGTGCGTGGTGCAAGTGTATTGGTGTTTAACACGGCCGTCCGAAATACATATATTCCAGAATAAGCGCGCCGCCACTCTTAGCTGTATGAGTGCATCTGACGTATATACGTATGTACATACACACCCGCAAGTAAATAAGAAGAAATTAGCGCAACACAAAAAAGTGAAATTTTCTTCCATAAAAGTCGAGGAAAATATCAGTACCAGTTCTTTGCATAAGTGATTGTTTTTTTTTGGTGCAAGTGGAAAATTAATATCAACTCCCAGGCTGGACGCAGAGGTAGCAGCAGCAGCGGCAGCAGTAGCACCCACAGCAATAACGGATTTTTGCTCTCCACGCGGGTAAGTTTCACCCCCTCCCCATCGTCTTTTGCTAAAATTTTCATTACGCCGAAAGGAAAAAAAATTCAATATGTATGCGAGAGCAAGCAGCGCCCCACACTCCATTCCATCTCCACTCTCTTGCTTGCTCTCTCTATCTCTCTCTCCCTCTCTCTCCTTTGCTTCAACTATCCAATTTAACCTCAACCGGTCTGCTGCTGCTGCGGCCGGCGTCGGCGTCTCCCCGTATGCATGCATGTGTGTGTGTGTGTGTGCTCGTTAAAAATGCTCTGCCGCAGTCGGCGTTCTTCTTTAACTCTCGCGCATTATTTCGCCAAAGCTCCAACTTTTCCCTCCTCCACCTCCTCCTATATATTGACAATTTTTACAGCTTTTGGCGTTTGTCTGTCTGCCGCTGTCGGTGCCAGCGTCGTCGCCGTGACGCCATGGCTTAGGCGATTGTGTTTTTTTTTTTTTTTTTTTCTATTGTATCTGCCGCAGCGCTGCTTGACTGGTCGCGAGGGGGTAGTCTTGTCGTTCCGTTATCTACACACATTTGCGGTGCCCTGAAATGTATCTGCAGCTGCCATGAATGAGCGGGCCTCTGCTCTTGCATATTAAGTGTGTTAATGAACTTTTCTTGGGTACGTACGATTGCAAACTTGGCTAATTACCCGCACGCACTTTTGGGCGCTTTGCAACACTTGAACGTTTTCGAGAATGACCCCACGCACACACGTACACCAGCCTGCACTTGTTCGCCAACATGGCTCTCTCTCAATGCCTGCCTGCCTGCCTGCCTTCGTCTCTCTTTCTCTCTTGCTCCCTCTTTCGGGTTTCCCCTGCTCTCACTGGCTCCCTTCCCTCCACTAGCACAGTCGTGGCTATGTTTCGGGAATGCGTGCCGCCGTGCCGTAGCCGGGTAACGAACGCATTTTGGCAAACAGCACGAAAAGTTGCATGCTCCAAAATACACACACACACACACAGACACATGTAGACATAACCACCTTGCTCTCGCTCTCTCTTCCACTATCTTTCTCTCTGTCAGCAGCACTTGTTATGCTGCTCCCACTCACACGCTGCACGTCGTTAGTTTTAAACTTATTTTGGCATTCTTTATGTGCTACTGCATTCTCTACGTCCCTCCCTCCCTTTCGTCTCGTCTCGCATCGTCTCGTCTCGTACCGTCCCGTGCCGTCTCGATGGCGACCCAGACCCGCATTTCCAGCTAGCGACAGCAGCACCGTTGTTGTAGGAGTCTGAGAACTATTCAAGTCGGGGGAACTAGTTCGCAGTGTCGTTGGCATTAGCTAAATAAATCAGATAATCTTCGTCGCATGCCTAAGAGGTAAGAGTTCCTGGCTGAAGACGGGAAACATTTTATGGGCTTGAACTTGAGGAAAATGTTTAATAGGTTAACAATTGTTATGCCCCAAGGAAACTGAACTGAGCGATCCAGAAACATACTATTGAAAGACACCAAGGCAACAGACAAATAATTCAATAATAAAGCATCCCAGACGGAAGAATTTCTGAAAATAATTTGGTTTTTCGTTTTTCACTATTAGTTTTAATCGGCTTGGTTAATTGGGAATTGTAGTAGTAGTAGTGGCTTTAGTTAAACCTTAATACTTTATTTAAGAAAGTTCTTGGTGGTGTTCTAGAGCTGCCTCGGCGGTGTAAACAAATCCTGAAGTCTATCAAAATATTCTGTAGTGTAATCAGAGCATTCTGTATCGGCTCTGCATTGGGTATACACACTTCCATACAACATCCATACATGCATACACATACATACATATGTACCTGTGCTTGTACCTGCGCATGCATAGGTGTGAGAGAACACCGATATCCGAAATTCTCGTCTTTTTCAGCATGTTGTTGGTGTTGTTGGTGCAAGTGGAGCAGAACTCGACTTTGACGCAACGACTGCATGCGTAAGCAGCGCCAGTGCGCTCCCCCCGCCCCCCTCCCCCCTACCGGTTGCAGAGACCAAGATTTCTTTCAATTTAGGTTAGGGTTTCTTTTACAGTTTCAAGCTAATGGCAGTCGGCCAGGGTCAATCCAAGTGCATGAAAGATTGTATATGGAGTGTTATTGAGGGTGTGTGGGGGGTGGGGTGGGGTCTGGAAAGGAGGTAGTGTTGCATACTGGATTCATTCCATTCCATCATCACATATTGCAGTTGTTTTCTATTTCGTTTGCTGCAACAGAAATGCGAATTGTTGGAACACCACACACAGTAACACATTGGCATGTGGCCCCCGCCTCCGCCTCCACCACCACCACCACCTCCATCTCACTCCGGTATCAGCCCACCCCCCCTCCTGCTCTGGTACACACGACACTCTCTCGTGCCATGCTCCTCTATGTACTGAGCTTACAACAACAAAACAGCAAGCCGAAATGCAGTTTAAAGCGCAACTAAAACTAAACAGAGCTCTCCAAGTGGGTGTCCATAGAAGGGGAGGTGGGGGTTTGGGGGGTGATTTCTCTATATGTATGCCCCCCCCGTACGGTAAGTTTGTGTGTGTGTGTGTGTGTGTGTGTGTGTGTGTGTGTGTGTTTGGATGTTTGGATTTCTATGTATGGAATGGAGAGTGGATTTTATATCAAAAGTACAGTCGCCTATCGCTGTTGTTGCTTTATTTCATAGTTTGGTGTACATATGTATATATGTGTGTCTGTAGGTATGCATGTATGTATGTATGTGTTTGTACATAAATTGCATGTTCATGCTTCAATAGTTGCATGCAGCAGCGTCCATGCCAGCACCATTGTTGAAAGATAGAGTGTGTGAAAGAGAGAGAGAGAGGGAGGGAGGGAGAGAGAGAGAGAAGTGATTGAGAGATGGGCGGGCAAGGGGGTCAGGGCTATACCTAAGCCTAAGCTTTTGCATTGGATGCGGATGCGGATGCACCGAAACTCTGGTCTCTGTTGACAACGAAAACCAGGGCCAAAGCCGGAATCCAGCGTTAACAAGGAATCAAAATATGCAAGCGCCTTGGCCTGGCCGTACGATTGCGATTGCGATTGCGATTACGCAGATCATTACAGATCGAATTATTAGTGTTGTAAAGGGATGAAATGAGGCAAAAGACTCTGTAATTCGTTTCCCCCCCACCCAATCCTGTTCTACATAACTTTGGCTTCTCCTCTCCTCCCCTCCGCCCGTCCTCTGTCCACTGTCCTCGTTTGACGTCTCTTCTATCCACCCCACTCTTTACCACTGGCTTCTTCTCCTACCTTCTTCCTTGGGCTCTTTTTTTGTTTTGTTTTTTTTTTTTGCTGTAGCTGTTGTTGCTTTTGTTTTATACATATATATTTTTTATGATTCCCTTTTGTGCTTTGCTGTGCTTGGGAGTGTGCGAAAGGGAGAGGGACACTTTCGTACTTATGGATGAAGGGGGGGCGGCGGTAGGTTGGGGAAGAGCTTTAGCGTTGCGTGTGCTGAAAAAATCGATTAAGGGGCATGCGGTGGGGGGAGGGGGGTGGCAGGAACAGAGTGCTGGGGCAACTTAAATTTAAAGCAGATGACAATCCGGAACCCCATCGTTGCGTTTTGTTTCGTTTATTGATTAAATATGTCCAAAAAGAGTGGGGAAAAACTGTCGTGGAATTATGGGGAAATATAATGAAAAATGAAAATTGACTTATTGATTTTGTAATGAGCTTACACTTTCTTCCCCTCCCTGTCTCTCTCTATCTCTCTCTCTCTTTCCCTCTCTCTTTTGCTCTAGGTCTGCGGCCAGCCCTGGTTATGCTGTTAAGGGGGTGTGGGGTGGTGGATGGGGGGTGGGGGGAGGTGTGGAGTGGTATGGAATGGTAGGGCTTCCGCTTATGTATAAAACTTTTTCGGAAGCAAGAAAGCAACAACAATATGAGATGGCGGCTGCTGCAATTGGAGTGGGTGTGGGTGGGGGTGTGGGAGTGGGTGGGGGTGGGAGTGGGGGAGGAGGAGAGGGAGTGCTAGGGAGGCTGCTGATGCCTGGCGAGAGAGCGTAGGAGAGAGAAAGGGCTGCTTGCTTTGGGTGCTTGTGTTGTTTGTGTATTGGGTGCCGTTAGTTGAAATGCAGACGTTTTGCATTGTTGTTTGTGGGTGGAGGGGGGAAAGAGGGAGGAGTAAAGCAGAAAGGTTGGGTGGTAGGGTGGTAGGGTGTGCTGTGGCAGCGGCGGCTCTGTGGCTGTAAAATGCCCCGAAACCCGGTACAGCTGTGTATGCATGTGTACATAAACACACACACACACACTCAGAGAAAGAGAGAGAGAGAGAGAGAGAGTGAGAGAGAGAGAAGTAGAGTGGAGTGGAGTGGAGTGAAGAGCCGAGCCGAGCATGCAAAAACAGATACATATACAAAACAGGCAATGAGTGGAGGGAGTGGAGGAGACAGAGACAGAGACCCCCCAACCTCCAGTATGGTCTCGGTCAGGTCCGGGTCGGGTCGGGTCTGGTCTGGTCTGGTCGGAAGGAAGCTCAGCTCAGAGCACCATCGCCACTGCCACCACTACAGCCCGCATAGCTCAAGGATGCATATAATATCCGGGCCGCTCCTCGCATTCCCCAGCCCCAGCCCCAAACCAAACACTCGCAGCAAACAAGGCCTATACAAGTGGGGTTAAGGTCCATTCAGTGTGGATTTTCTACCGATTTCGGATTGTCCTATCCCTCTCTCTCTCTATCTCTCTCTCTCTGTATCTCTCTTTGTGGGTGGGTGGATAGTTAGTTGCGTAATCTATGCGTTGATTTGGTTCTGAACCCATTGTATATCACTGAACCCGACGACTTCCTGCTGGTCAAAACGAATGTGGTTTGGGGTGGCGTGGCGTGGTGTGGTGTGGTTCAACACTCGAACCCGAAATGCAAATTTTCCCAAATTGTAAATCCGAATATTCGAATTTGTCGATGGCACATGCCAGGACCCATGCAGTACGTCTGGGGAGCATATGATGATGTTGATAATGATATATGTTGTTGCAGGTGGGTAATCTTTAGTAGGAAATTAGTTTTAGCCGCAACGCCAGCAGCACCACTCACCATGCCTATCGAACACCGCCTCCTGCTTCTGCCTGCCCGGCAGCTCAATCAACCATTAATATTACGCAATTTTAATGATATTGGCAATTAGCGTGGAGAAAGAGGAGGGACACGGTGGTGCGGTGGTGTGGGGTGGGGGTTAAAAGCCACTTGCTAATTCCAATATACGGCCCATGTCCCATGGCTATTATTTATGAAAGAGCATAGCCTCAGACTCAGGTTCCCTGGGCATGTCCAAACTATAAATTGCAGGCGCAACTGTACCTGAAATGCAAAATGGTGAGTAATCCTAAGCTGAGCGCCATGTTTGGTTGAATGGTGGCAGTGGGCTGGTTCTGGGTGCTGGGTGCTGGGTGCGGGTGGCGGGTGGCGGGTAGCGGGCTGCTGGTGGTTTGGGATGCTATAGTAGTGTGGTGGGGTGATGTGGACTGATGTTGGGGTCGGGGAGGTCGCCAACTTCGATTTTGCGCGTTTGGCAATTATGTGGACATGTGTCTTGATGCCTCCCGGACACACATATATATATATACATACATGCATACATATACGCATATGTAGCCTCTATATGTTTTTAGATGTGTGTAGAGGTAGAATCTCCCCCCACCCCCCACTACAGACCCCGCCCACCCTCTGAGGCCATAGTTTAGTTTGGGAACCACGCAGAACACGCCCTAAGCCCCCGCCCCACCGCCCAAACAGTGGGAAAACAGGAGCAACAACAGCCGCAGTAGTAGCAGCTGGGACTCCACCCCCACCCCCACCCCCTCTTCCTCTAAAAAGCAACCTCCACCCTCCGCCCCTTCCACAATTCTACTACAACCCCCACCCCACCCCACCCCACATCCCGCTGAAGAGTTGCCTGCATAAAATATTTCTAGATACACATTTTTGTTAGGGCAAAAGCAGAAGAAGAAGAAGAAAAAGAGGAAAGGAGGGGGGGAAAAAAACAGTTACCCAACACACAGACAGGGAAGGGACGCATGAGGGGGCGGGGCCGGAGAGTTGGGGTTGGGTTCGGGCTTGGGTTTGGCTGTGTTGCTATGTCGGCAGCCCTGTGGGCCCTGGGGGTGGTGAGGGTGAATGAGACCAGACGAAAAGACTGCGGTATCCACAACCGCTATTTTCTCTCCGCCCTTTCCCGCAGTCATTCCTTTGGGAGGAGCCACCCCACTCCCACCCACTTTAAAGGGCAGCTTTAAAGCTTCGACTAAAGTTTCCGCCCACCCACTGGCGCCGCCACCATCTTGAAGCCTCCCCCCTCCCCCCGCACTAAGTGAAGTAACTTGTCGAATCCCTGTCATATTGTTGTTCTTGTTGTGTCTCGCCTTGTTTTTCGGTGGTGGAAAAGTTTTGGCCAAAAGTGCGTGGGCCGTCCAGGTGAGGTGGTGGGGGGAGGGTGTTGAAGATGTGAGGGCGGAATACCATCATCATTGCCGTCTGCTTATGGCAGGCCCGCAAATTGCTGAAAACAGATTTACTTCCGATCCGAAGTGGAATTTTCCTAATGGCAGACCAGTCTTTCGATTTTAGGAACCTTTTGCCCCAATTTCTTTTTGGGTGGGGGTGGGGGTGGGGGTGTTCATTAAATAATACTTACCATAGTTAATACAAGAATAATCTAAATAATCTATTGCATAATCATGGCTAAACTTTCAGTTTATACTTTTGCTTACTTTGTTTATTTGAAAACATTTTGTTTGTTGTTTTGTTTGCCAAAACTGTTTCTATTTTATGGCAGGCGGGCAGGGCACACTCTTTGCTTTTTCGGTTCTTTTTCATTCGGTCAGAGATCATTATTCTTTTAAACACTGAACTAAAGCTTTGCACAGATTTGTTTATGTTTTTGCTGCTGCCGTGGGGATAATCTGTATAATCCGACAAATCTGATTTAAATCAGATAACTATCTGCAAGGGTATCAAATGCTTTGACTTTCGGTTTTGTTCTTTTTTGCGTTTGTTATTGCTTCGCTTTTTGCTATTTTGTGGTTCTTTAATTGCCTGATTAGCTGCCCGAAGACCGCACAAACACACACACTCGAATGCCACAGTATACACATGCAAAAGTAGAAGCCACACACAGGCAGGCAGCCATGCCCCTCCAAATAGAGAGCTGCCTGGTGTGCATGTGCTGCTCGCTCTCTTTCGGTCTCTCTCTCTCTCCCTCTCTCTCTGTGTCTGTCTGTTTCTCCTCCATTCCGCCTTCTCCTTAGCTTCTTTTCTTCTCTGGGGCTGCTGCGCTTGGCTAATTTATGCACATTGAAGGTGCTTCAACGTTTCTGTTTTTTATAGCCAACTCTTTAAAACACAATTCAATAATTTATATGTACATGCTGTACATACATACATACATACATATGCACATATGGTATGTAGGTATGCACGCACATGTGTATTTATGGTTATGGCAACATTTCTTTTTAGGTGAGAAATGAAATATGAAAAACATTTGCTTAATTTTTTCGGCATTTGGCCTGCACTTTTCAGCTGTCAGCTGTTGTCCCTCTTCCTCCCCGTCGCTTGCAGTGCCGTGCCGCCTCTTCTTTTCGTTTAGTTTTTTGTTTTGTGGCTGCTGTTGTAGCTCTCTCTCTCTCATTCGGACATTTGCTTTTGTGCCTGAGGCAATTGACCGTTTAAATGACTTGCTGCCGCTGCCGATGCCGCTGTCGTTGCTGCTGCGCTGCCCCTCGCCGTCGCTCATTTCGATTGTTGTTCGAAATTTTGTCTTATGCGGCTGGCTTATCCTCGAATTCGAACAGGGGTTGCTTAGAAGAACAAGAAGAAGAAGAAGAAAAAGAGTTGAATGCCAGAAAGTTGCTTCCTTCTTGAGGTCCCTACCCCTCCATTAGCCCCTCATCTAACTGTAGAGAACAGGAATACACCTAAATGGATAACTTGCTTGCTATGGCTTGAAGGCCAGATGATTTTTCGTCAAACATTGTATGTATTCTATGTTGTAAATGGCAATAATCAAGCTGGCAAAATATATGTATGTATGTACCTTCGAGTTAGAGAAGTTCATTATTGACTCGTACCATATACTTTTTGCCTTATGTACTAAAGTAAACTAAAACGCTGCTGTAAACACTTTTCCTTACATTGATTTCTCCCTCGTTTTTTTTTTTCTGCTGATTTTCATGGTCAGCTCTTGCTGACTAATTATTTATGTATGCTTGATAATTATTGACCAACAACAACAGAAACTGCCGAGCCACTTGGTCTGTTTGCTGACGATCATTTCACTCAAATAATACAGAAAAAGCTGCAGTCCCCCCGTCCCCCTCTGACTAAAAGGCGGGCAGAGCAGCAAGAGCAGCACCAGCAAAAAAAAAGAAGAGAGAAATGCTTACCTCGGGGGACCGACGCTCAGATACCCTAGCGGTTCGATTAGTTCCGTGGCAGATGTGGGTTACAGTTGTGTCGCTACATTTATAACTATTCTGTGAAGAACTCCTTGAGACATCATCTTAAAAATGGTGGAATATTGAGGGACAGATGGAGTCACTTCCTTCTTGTCGTTTCAAGCTTCTGTCCAGAATCATTACACCCTATTCTGCAGGAGAAGGGTATCAAAAGTGGCAAAGCTGCTTTTTTGTTGGTGTTGTTTTCTTTTGACTTACCTTTTTACCTGTTTATTTTCAAAGTGTGGCATCTCGCTCGCACGCGCATAGTCCGCCAATCGCTAGTACATATGTATATGTATGTATGCTGCTCGCTCACCAAAGAAAGGTAGGGAGGGGCAGAGAGAAAGAGGGGGATCAAGAGAGAGAGAGAGAGGGAGAGAGAGAAAGAGCGCGCACACAAAGACAACTGCAAAACACGCGCGCGAGCTCGTTACACGTCATTAAGTGCAAAAAAAAAACGAAGAAAAATAAGAACAAGCGCATAAAAAATTGTACCGTACATAGAGAGAGAGGGAATAATAGTATTAGTTGTTGTTGCAGCATCAGTTGCTGTTGTACCGTTAGTGCATCCATCCATCCATCCATTCATCCATCCATCCATCGTCCAGATTTCTCCTGTTGTGCAAGTTCAGAGACCTAATTCCAAACATCTTCTGGAAGAAGCTCCATAGAGTATTGCCTTTTGACAATAGAAAACTTTGTTGTTTTATATTGTCTGTATGTATGTGTTGGGAGCACTTTGTATGTGCTATTTACTTTCGCGATTCGCTTTTAGCTAAACATTCCAGCCTGCAATTTTCCATTTACATGCACATGCTTATGCACATGTATAAAGGTATATCACCTAATGGGCCTTGGAAGATTAACAGTTATCGCTGATCTTTTCGAGAAAAGTTGTGATTCAGCCTTAACAACAGCCTCAAACTGAAAGTAGTACTCAATGCCTCGTCCGTCCGTACATATATGCCTGCCTGACCAGAGCATTGCTTATATACTATTCTCTAGCTGAGAGTGTGGGCATGGGATGTACATATGCTTGTGTGTCTGTATTGTAAGTGTCGCCGCGCTTATCAGCAAAAGAGAGCTAGAAAAAAATGTTTTCTCTTTTTTTGTTTTTTTTTTTGCGTTGACATTTATTTTTATACACTATGCATATGCACAGACAAATGTACAATACCTTAAGTATATAAATAAGTATGTATATATATATATATTTTCTTATTTGTCCCCACACATTCTAATCCAAGTGTTCGATATGCCAAGTATCCAGTATTGAAAGTTGGGGGAAAGGTACTTATCAGGGACTTGCAAAACCAAACAAGGAAATGGACATATGTACATATATATGTATATGCATTTATGTATGTATATGCAGTGATCGCTTATAAATAAGACATCCAAAAGTTCAACGGTAATTTCCCGTTTAATGGCCAGAGCCAATACATACATACATATGTACATGCATACATATATACGAGTTTATTGACAGACACCACATTTCTGGAAGTTTCTGTTTAAAAATATGAAATATTAGGTCTTCATCATTGTTTGTGAAATATGTAGGGCGCAACAACAAGGGATACATTTTGTCCTATTTTCTGGGAACTTTTTAATACTTTTTCACATAATTGTATTGAAATGGAAAACACACCTTTAGAATAGAAGGGTTGTCGACGAAACAGAAGTACATAGTTTTTATGTACATATGTACAAACATATGTACATATATGTATGTATACTACCCCAATTAGTCTTTTGCGAAAGTCTGAGCGTGCGAAGATACAATTACATGCTGTCCTGTGTACATCAATTTATCTGCATACATACGTATGCGAGTATGCATACATACATACATATTTGCATATTCATCGACTATAAACATGAATATATCTACATATTATATACTGATACGTGTACATACATATGTACTCGCTCGTGGCTAGTTCAAGGCCCCAGTCATCAATGCATGGGAGCTGCGGACTAACGATGTAACGTGATTATCGTTTTTATACAAATCTTTGAATGACTGAATATGTTTTTCTTATAAACGATTTGCATAAATAACTATTAAATAAGAGTATAATACGTTGAACTGTTATATTTTTGTGACCATTTCACATAACTGATATTTATGGGTGCTGGAGATGGCGCGGACCCACCCTCTAGTATTAATAACCGATATTGACTGTACTTTCAGTTTTAATATGGAGGGGGAGGGGACGGAAGGAGCTGTCATAGTTCGATATTCGTTTAATTACACTAATGGCAAACGAAAATGAAATCTCTTCGCTCGAAAGAATTGAATGAAATAGTTGTACGAGTATTTTTTGCACTTATCGTAGCCGTAATATGAATGTCAAATGCGTGTGACAGTGTGTTCGTGTCTGTATTTTCGTTTGTCTCTCTGTGTGTGTGTGTGTGTGTGTGTGTAAAGTATCGGCTAACTGGTTTTCTGTTATTTCTTTTGGGCGCCGCTGTCGGGCAGAACAGAGGCAGCGGCAGCGCTGCCGGCATACCATTTACGTGTTTCTTTTTGGGGTTATTCTTAACGCGTGCGAGCTTCTCATTTTCGATACCCTTTTAGACGAAAAGTATTCTGATTCTGGATAAATGTTCAAAGGGCGTACAGGTATCCACATCAACATTCGCAGATACAGCCGTTTGTTGATATTGAAATTTTTTATGTACTCCACAAAATTGTATCGAAATCAAATGTCTATACATATATCCACCATGGGAACTACGGATTATCCAGGGTATGAAAAGCTTCGGCATCCAAATCTAGCCTTTCTCCTTGTGTTTTTTGCTGTTGTTATTACAAAACTTTTTATTCGCTCGCGATAAGAGGCATTGCAGGGGCTGCCTTCCCATGGGGGAGTTGCCAGATAGGGGAAACTGAGAATGTGAATGGTGAGAGTTACAGTTACAGTTATAGTTGTAGTTATAGTTAATGTTGTAACCTAACGGAGGCTCTTGGCTCTTGCTCTTAATTTGTGTATTTCTGGCCCAAAAACTTTAACAATTTCACATTTGTGTGTATTGTCAATGGACAAGTTCACACATTTGCGCAGGTTGTTCTTACATAAGTGTGCGTGCTATTTATATACTGTTTACATATGTACATGCTGTACATGCATATGTACATATATACATGGGCAGAATTGCATTCTGCACCTCCTCCTCTTCTCCTCTCTGTGCCCCCCTTCCATCGTCCTACTTGCCTCCCCGTCTTTGCTTTTGTTGTTTCTCTTGCTTTTTGTACATGCTGATGCCTGTCTCTGTGTCTGTGTCTCTCACTCACACTCGGGCACGACACGTACATACATGCATACATAGGCAATGGGTTCAAGTTGTACATAAACCAAACGACCGACCGACCGAACGCTGCCTCTGTCTCTGCCACTGGCACTGCCACTGCCAGTGCTCTGCTGCGTCGTCGCCGTCTCTGCTTTTGTCTATCCAACCGTACGCCTCTCTACCTCTGCGTGTGTGTGTGCGAGAGTGTGTGCGTGTATATTTTATGGCAGCGCGCAAAAAGGCAACAAATCTATTTATTGCCATTTACTCAATATTTGGCACATTTAAAAGAGAAATACATTAACTTGTTTCCTGCACTTGGCTGCTGCGCTGTGGAAAAATTCCACTTAATCAGACAAATTACCAGACGCGTCGGCCTCCCTCCCCTTTCTCTTAGCTCTTCCCCCTGACTAAAACAAAGCTTAAGTAAGGCGGCCGAAGCTTTTGATACTCTTTCAGCTTTATCATACGCGAGTAGTCATCCGATTGTGATCAAATTTTGTTGAGTTATTTAATGGCACACGGAACTGCCTATGTACATGCACATGCACTATATACTGCGAGTACATAAACGAATAAATCAAGAATTTGTGCGCCTCTGCGCCTCGAACATCTGTCCCAGAATCATGCAACACATATACCCCCTTTTCTGCAAGTGTATCATCAAAATGTTCTTCAAGCGTAGCATTAAATGATGCTTTGGCAGCAACATCATCTCTGCTTTTTAGTTTTCTGCTGCCTCTGGCAACAACAACAACAACAACAACAACGGCAACAGCAACAGCAACAGCAACTTGGACAAACAAAACCAGTTTTGAAAGTCATTAATTTTTAGCTTGTCTTTGCATTGTTGCTATTGCGGCGACGGCTTATGTATTTTACTGTTTATTTAGCTGGCAACGCTGGTCAAGAGCACGCAAAAACAAAAGAGAGGACACAAAACAGCTGTGCACTAGCCAGCATGTGGGGGAGGGTGGTTCCGCCCTGCACCCCCTGGCCAAGGCTCCATTTTCACTTGCCAATTACTCAGAAGAGCCATAAAAGACAGTACACGAGTATTTGTTTGTGAATTTACTTTGATGTGATAAGGAAAACAAATCCATAACACATGCATATTGAATGTACATAAACAAATAAATAATATTTATAACAAATGATATGTCAATAATTTACCACAAAATACAAAAATATAAAAGATACATAGTATGTATGCATGCTTTGCACATAAATATTTAGCATAGGTAATTTTTATTTTGGGCTTAATTCAATTTAAATATAATTTATGGGAATAATACAATTGTGATGAAATTCCTTTCTTTGTTTGGTGAAAAAAATGTATCGGTCCTTCGAACAGTGTGCGTCATTAATTTGCCACCAATGTTTTGTATAGTTAACCCATTTAGAAGTTTTTGGTTCTTTTTGTTTGTTTGCTGTTTTCCCCCAACCAATCCAATGCTTATCGCCTGGCTATAAATAAACGCAACGAGAAAAGCAATACACCACAGTGGGCTGCATAATTATAGTGACACTCACAAGATAAGGCTGAGGCATAGCGTATAGCATATAGATATGTACATTTGGATGTAGGGCTGTCTGTGTGTGTGTGTTTGTATATAGAAAATGACTTTTGGGTTCTGCGATGTCACATTTCCATGTAAATTAAAGATAGTTTTCCATTGAGCTGCAACTTGCAGCTTGCAACTGGAACTGGACAATCGTAGGTTAGGTTCGAGAGTCGGGTTTTGGGTGCACCCATTGCATCATCATCTTCATCATCCCGGCGGTCCCTGCCCCTGCCACTGCCACCACCCCGAGCGAACCGAAACCGAACCTCCCAAATCCCAGGCATGGTTGAGTAAATATGTATGTATGTATGTGCGACGAGGAAGGTCGGTTGGTTGGTCTCCCTTACCCCTACCCCCTACCCCATGTCCATGTCCCTGCCCCTGCCCTACCCCCCCGTCATATACAACAAGTCGTGCGCTCTCGCTTGCTCGCCTGCTTGCTTGCTCTCTCACGAAGCAGCAGCAGCAGCAGCAGTAGCAGCAGCAGCCCACCTCTCCCGCTACCACTCCACTTCAATCTTCTCCCCGACTTGCTTATGTACAATGGGACAGGCAGGCAGGCAGGCAGGCGGCTGGCGGCCATAAGATATGCGCATTTCTTATAATGTCGAACCGAGAAGTACTATTCATGTTTGTTGGCTTTTTTTTTTTTGATTCTTTTGCTAAGCTGCCACTTGTTTTGATAATATATTTCTTTAACTTATTGAATGCAGCATTGGAATAGAAGTATTCTTGAGACACTGTTGATGAGTGGATAGCCATAGCACCCCAACTAATATGTAAATCGATTTTAGGTTAGGTTCGGGTTCGGGTTAGTGGCAAAGGGAGTTGGTGGTGGAGGTGGAGGTGGATGTGGAGAAGGGTGGGGGGCTTGTGGGTGCCATTGTGGGTGGCCAGACAGACAGAGTCGACCCCAAACTTGGTATCCCAATAGCCACCGTCTGACAGCCACAGCCACCGCCGCGCTCTCCTCATCGTTGTCGTCGCGTGTGTGCGACGTGCGCTCTCTTCTTCCATCTTGCTCTCGCGCTCTCTCATGCCCGCTCTTCCGTTCTCCCGCTCTCATCCGTACACCGCACACTCAAACACATTTTGCTGTTGCTGTTGCTGTTGCTGTTGCTGCGGCTGTTCTTTGCTTTTGTTGTTGGTGCTGCCTTCTGCTGCTGCTGCTGCTGCTCGCCGCGCTATGTACACAACTGTACTTTTGATTTAACCTTATTTCTTTGCTTTTTTTTTTGCGTTGTCGTTGTCGCCGTCGTCGTCATCGGCTTCTAAGTTGCGCTCGCCTGGGATGACTGTGAAGCCTGGCTGGCTGTCCTTATCTTCTGGTCAGTTATCGGTCCGCAGTCTGAAGCGTCGTCTGTCCCCTTTCCTGGACACCTGGACAGGTGCCAACGACCGTTAGACGTGGGGATAAACTTGAACTTGCATGCATGCATATCCCACAGACCATGTCCCATCATTGACCCACTGTAAACCCAACGCCCTGGGCGCTAATTGAATCCCATTTAGCGCTCTATTAAACACAATTATGGTCAAGCAAATACATATGGATGTATAATAGCCCCCAATCGTAATGAAAATGTCGCACAAATCGATAAAGTTTTTGTTCACTAAATCTCCTCCATATATTCCGGGCGATGAGAGGGTGATACAAAAAACACGCATATTGTCTCACCTCGTTACACATACACACATGCGTACGTGTAAAAATTTGCTAATGTGTGTGTATGTGTACATTAAAAAGCATCTATACAAATTTAAAACTGTATTAATTTAATAAGAAGAGAAAAAAGCTGACAATCATCAAAGCATACAAAAGCACACGCACACATTTACACAGGGCACAGTGGGGCAGAGTCCATTAGCATTAAAGATGATATTTCATCAACGACTATGCGTGATAAGAAGCGATATAACCCGAGAGATAATCCACACAGTGATGGTTGGAAAGTTTGAACTTGAATAAATTATAAATATTTAGAACTTTGACCGCAGACTCTCTGAAATTAATTAAATATTAATTTATAACACAATATTAGCAATGCTAATTTTTTAGCATTGAAAGCAGAAAAGAATAGTTAAAAATATGAATAAAATTATATGGAACAACTGTATAGGAGGTGGTTTGAATAATCCCCTCTAACATTTGCCTACACCATCATAGATTTCGACCACTGTAAAAGTCAAGCGAGCAACTATTTAATTTGTTATCAAAACAATCACACATTTGCCTACTGCATTCCACTGTGCAGAGCTGTTAGTAATCGCGAACGCGAACGCGGGCGACGACGGCCACGAAGTGTTCGAGTAGCGCACAATCTGATGACGACACAAGTGTGGAAAGTAACGAGACTCCGTAGACTTACGCTTGCGGGGGGACGGGCAAGAACAGAGCGCAAAAGAAAGAAGGAAAAAAAGAAACGAACGAGTAAGCGTGCTCATACGTATGCACGTATGTGTGTGTGTGTGTCGGTGTTTGTGTTTCAATGTGCTTCTGTGTGAGTGCCAACTTTCAAAGCGAGTTAATTTATGGCACATTGGGGACGGACAGCAGCCATGGGAAATGGGATGTTGCTGCCGCTCTTCTGCCATGTCGTTATAATTATGCCATTCGATTCGCTTTTCTTCTGCCAACATTTTGTTGAGGCCGCTGTCAGAACTAGGCTCCGCTGAAGCTCCTCTGGTCCTCTGGTCCATTCAAGCTTAGTTTAGCCTGTCGTCCTGGGGTGCCTGCCAGCAGTTGAAAAGATTCCACTCTGCGGACGATTGAATTACCAACAAATTATTCGAATCTCAACGAAATCTCTCTTCCCGGCAAGTTTGGCGTTCGTTTTTATAGGTTTCCGTACCACTGTGAAGGTCGTTCGGGTATTTTGTTTACGATTCAAATTGTGTATTTTATTTTTTATATCCACATGAATATATTTAAGTCAAAATCAAATCAATTAAATAACTATTGTTTGTGCAATGTTTTTTTTTATATTATTTTTATTTTTTATAATTGTTTTTGTTGTTGTTTTTTTCTGCTTGTAAATCAGTATTAGCAGGTGAATTGTTGCTTTTGTTGCCTGCCGTTTCGAGTTGTTTGAAAAGTTTATTCACCTTTCACTCTCACGTGTCGCTACGGCTACGTCTCTCCGTGTTCGTGTATGTGTTTGTTTGTGTGTGTTGCCAGGTGGTTTGTGTCTCTGCTAGTTCTGAAACTACTAATACACTACTTCCACTAGTTTCCCCCTTTCGGCCCCCCACTTTCCCCACTTTATTTACATGTAAATGTTTCTTGAAGCCACCGATGCTGCTGCAGCTCCAGAGCGGCCTTTGTATGCGAAAATTTCTTAAATCGAAAACGTGACTGGTTTGCGGAAGATAGCCGAGGTCCGAATGGAAATGGTAGAAGTGCTGTGCCTCCTCGACCATGCATACCCACCTACAGCCGCAGACTATTTATGCACATCTATATCTTATACGTATCTGTGCAATCGAATCGGAGAGTTGATTTGCGATTTGGCGCAGCTTTCCTTTTTCTGTTCAAGCTCTTTCTCTTGAGGACGGACCGATGGTCGGACGGACGGACGGACAGGAGGGGGCCTTGGGTTGGGCGGGCGGTCGGCGGCTATCAGTTGCCTCAACAAGGTCGTCGTCTCAGTAAATTGAAATCAGGATATCTTTATTTTGTCCCAGCGCGGAAACGGAAAAGGGAAAAGGGAGCAACCGAGCAGTAAATGAGACGACCCCTTCACAGTGTGAAAAAAATAAGAAACATATACAACAAACCGTTAGGGGTTAGTGGCTGCTGACATCCGCCTTGAAAGTGGTATGACAGCAAAAGCAGCAGACAAAAAGGAACAAAAACAAGCCAAAATTCAACCCTTAATGAAATCCCAACGACCTCCGACCCCATGCTATGCTTTGCTTTACTTTTCCATAGGATGCCTAGTAATTTGAATCCATATTCATCTCCGTCATTTTCGTTTTTCGTTTCTTCCGTTTCCAGTTGCCCAAGATACAGAATCACGACGACGCGACGTGCGAAAATGGCCAAAATGGAGGTCGACGATGTGGTCGACTTGAGTCTGAGCTCCGGCCGGGATCCGGCGTTAACCATAACGCCGGCGCCGCCACCGGCAGCGCTCAGCAATCGGGATCTGCGTGCCCTGACGGCCAATAATACGGGTCTGACCATAACGCCGTCTCCAGCGCCAGCGCCCACAGCAGGCGCTGCCACCATTCCCGCCAATAGCCACACCAGCACCAGCACCAACAGCAACAGCAACAACAATAATAATAATAATAACAACAACAACAACAGTACCACTGGGAATGGCACCGCCGGCAGCAGTCCCACCAACAGCAGCTCCGCGAACAGCGGCAGCAACACCACCGCCACTCCCAGCATCAACAACACAACAAACAACAGCTCCAGCGGGAATGCAGACGGAGGAGTACTCTCCGCCGGTGGCGGAGGTGTTGTCGGTGTGGATGAGAACAAGGTCCAGAGGCGGGTGCTACGGCCCCGCACAGAGCCCAAGTCATACGCCGAGGCCCCCGACATTGTGCTGCTGCCCGCCCGCACCAATGGACGCCAGCAGAACGGAAACATTGATTCGGAGACGGACGACGAGGAGATGCCGCCGTACGTGCCCATCAAGGAGCTGTCCCACGCCGAGCTGAAGGAGCGCGAGAAGAGCCTCCGACGGCTGCGCCAGGACCTACGCAACGAGGAGTCCAAGCTGTTGCTGCTCAAGAAGCTGAAACAGTCGCAGCAAGTGATGAAGGAGAACCTGGTGGTCACGCCGACCAGCGTCTCGCCCAACAATCCGCTGTCCGCCATACCAGCCGCCCTCACCTCCAAGGGGTCGCTGAGTGTGACGCCCACGTCGGCCGTACCGCAGCCGGCGCACAGCAAGGGACGCAGCAGTCTGGGCGGCAGTGCAGCTGCCGTTAGTATCAGGTGAGTGGCGCGGATACCTTAGATCCTTGACCTAAAATCGTTATTAATGCGAGTGTTTCCCCCGTTTCGTAGCGCCACCAACAGCCGGACGGGCAGCTCCAGCTCTGCAGCAGTGGTTGCCTCGGCCATTGCGGCGGCGGCCCTGAGCGGATCGCAGCGCGGCAGCCTCAGCAGCAACTCGATCCTCCCGCCACCCAGAGCCTCGCTACCGCCGGGCGCCACATTGGCCGCCGGCACAACCATAACGCCTGCCACCTCCTCTTCGCACCGATCGAGTGCCCTGCCGCCGCGCACCAATCTGCCGAATCTCACCATAACGCCCTCGGTGACCATCACGCCAACGTCGGCGCCGCCTTCCAGTCTGAAAGCACGCAATGTGAGTTATTGTAATGTCATCGTTGCCGTAAGCGCCGAGTTTTTTCCTCCTCCCCCTCTCACATATTTGTTCCAAAAAGCACCAAAAAACAAACAGAAACAAAAATTCACAACAAACAACAATCAACACACAAAATAATCAACAACGAAAAACTCACGCTTACCAACACTGCACAGTGCACTATGCATTACTAAACACTAACACTAGCACAAACATCAGAAACAGCAATGAACTATGGGTACAGTGGAATTTCTTGTTGCACCAAAGGAATATTCAACTTTTGAATGTACAGGCGGACTTCCATATAGCGAATCTCAAGGGGAATTCATTATACGGAACATTCGTAATATAGAATTCATTTTTGCAGAATATATACTTCAGAGTTTTGGAAATAATTTCGTTATACAGAAAACCTCGTTGTACTCTCGTCATTTGCACCGCCAATTGAGGGAGCTATAAAGGTAATCGGATGACCTTTCATAGGATTTTGTATTCGTATCCATAAAATGGGTAAACGTGAAGATATATTGAGCCAAAGTTGAAGTTCTATACTATTATTATTGTTTCTTCACCATTTGAACTGTTTGGATATCCGGATAAACAAATGTGTGTAAAACCCAGAAAGAAGCGTTTCCGACCCCATAAAATATATATATTCTTGATCAGCCTCAATAGATGAGTCTGTATAGCCATGTCTGTCTGTCCGTCATGATGAGCGTCCTGATCTCTGAGACCATAAGAGCTCCTGTGATATCGCACTGTTCGGATCATTATTATATCCAGAAGGAACAAGTGAAATTGCACTGGCTGCAATGCCCCTTTCCACGCGCTTACTCATTCCTCCTCCCCCTCTCTCTCTCTTCATGGTGCAGTGTGCGCCTCTGGCAACGCAGCTGGTGTTGGTGTGAGAGTGAAAAAGAGAGAGACAGACGTATCGGAATGCTAGTTGTAGAGGAAAAATGGGAACAGATAAAATATTCTATAATTCTGATCAAGCCGATCATTTGATGGCAAGGAATAAACGGAGTGCAAGAGCTAGCCATCGTGGTTCCCCTTTCCCTCTTTCTCTCTATATTTTTGCCATCTCTCATGGGCGAGCAAACGCGAACAAAATTGAGAGAGGGAGAGATCAGTATCACTGTCGGACATGAAAGTAGAGCCGTGGCCCTTGGCGTGGCTCCTTGATGGCAGGATTTAGTTAGTTAGTGGCATTAATTCTCAAAAATAAAAGTTACTGATCATTACAACTACGAGTTTTATGACCTTCGCTTTGCAATGCTTGTTTTGATATTTGACATTTCGAAATTATACAAGTAGGAAAAGGGAATAGAATAGAATAGAATAGAATAGAATAGAATAGAATAGAATAGAATAGAATAGAATAGAATAGAATAGAATAGGAGCATAAGATAGATATATAGATAAGATATCATAAAATTGGATGAAAAGCCTTTGATTTCCATACTTGCCTAGTTCTTGCTGTGCAACACTGGTTTCCACTTTCCAATACTACTACTAACACATCATTGCCTGTCACAACCCGCCGAGTTCAAGTCGGGCTTCGTGCAAAAGTGACAAGGAAAATTTCACTTAAATTTCTACGTATTTATTTCACCTCGACTAACGATCAACTATTAAACGCTCCAAATTGCTCTGTATTCATATTTACTACAAAATCAAATCGTTAAAAACATGCAGCCTAATATTTCGGATAATTCGAAGGTACCTGGGACCATTAGCAATTCTGTTTCCATCACTCCGGCGCCGCCGCTATCGCAAACGCATCAGAATCAACTGAACGATCTAAAGGTGAGTAGAGAAATGGGAATATTCATGTTAGTTGTTGGATGTATTGTTGAATGATTCGTTGCAGAATGATCGCTCCACGCCGCGCGAGGATGCACAGACGCCTGCCCAGCGTCAGGCGGCAGCTAAAATGGCACTGCGAAAGCAGCTGGAAAAGACTTTGCTACAGGTGAGGGAGGGAGAGACAAAAGAGAGTTCTGTGATAATTATACTAAAACAAATCTTTGAATATCCGATAGATTCCCCCACCAAAGCCACCGCCACCAGAGATGCACTTTATACCCAATCCCAGCAACACGGACTTTGTCTATCTGCTTGGACTGGAGACGGTCGTTGACTTCTTGACTGTCAACAAGAAGGCCAATGCTGTGGCAGCACCCTTCCGCTGTGCCCAGTGCAAGATTGACTTTACACCCGTCTGGAAGTGGGAGAAACAGAGTAAGCAGAGAATGGAATGCGAATGGAGCCCAGAATCAACGTAAAACTAACCAAAAGATTTTTCTATAGCCAACAAGGATCCCAAGGTGATTTGCGAACAGTGCGTCACCTCGAACGTGAAGAAGGCTTTGAAGGCGGAGCACACCAATCGACTGAAACAGGCGTTTGTCAAGGCACTGCAGCAGGAGCAGGAGATCGAGCAGCGTCTGGCCAGCCAGAGCAGTCCATCGCCCGTGGACACGCATGCCTTGAACAATGTCAGCGCCTCGCTATCCGTGTCCGCCGCCACCAATTCCTCGTCGCATTCGCATCAACACCAGCAGGCCCTGCAGCGCGAGCGCGAGCGTGAGCAGCTTCAGGCGTCACATGCTTCGGCAGCGGCGGCACTGGTCAATCTGCCGCCCTCTGTCACGGTTATACCGACCAAGTGTCAGACGCCAACGCCAGCGCCTAGACCCACACCGCCGCCACCACAGAACCAGCCCACACCACCTCCCAGCACACCGCGTTTGTCACGTGCCGCCGCCACAGCAGCAGCGGCGGCCATAGCTGCCCAACAGGCAGGGATCCTCAGTCCAGGACCCACGGCAGCGCACCACCACGAGCCGGCGTCCTCGTCGCGTTCCTCCCGCAACGATCGCCACGACCATCACCACCACCAGCAACAGCAACAACAACAACAGCAGCAACAGCAGCAGCAGCAACAACAACAACAGCAGCAGCAGCAGCGCGACCAGCAACGCGAGCAGCAGCAACAGCAGGCCCAGAGCTATGATAAATACTCGGCAGCCACGCTGGCGGCGGCAGCTCATCTCAGTGCCATGGGTGGCCTGAACATCAACAGCCTGGCCAGTCTGGGCAACCTCAGCAATCTGGGCAATCTCAGCCAGCTGGGCAATCTGGCGGCTCTTGGCGGACTGGGCAACTTCGGTGCGTCCTCGTCAGCCTCCAGCAATCAAGCTGCGGCAATGAACAACACCTCGCCTGCGGCCACAGCGGCAGCCATGCAGGCTTTCCAACAGCAGCTCTTCAGAGGTAGGATTCTTCTTAGCCACTTGCCGGATTTAATAATCTCATAAATGATTTTCTCCTGCAGCATTGGGTCAGGGTCTGGGGGGCAATCCACAGCATATGATGCAGTTTGCACCGCTTTTGTACTCCTATCAGGTGGCCATGGCGCAGGCGGCCCAAGTGGCAGGTGAGTCCTAAAACCTTACCATATATGATGACCCTTACAAAATGATCTTTACCTTTGGACAGCTTTCAACAACAACAACAAAAAGAGCAGCTCGTCATCGGGGTCATCCAAGAACTCAAGCAATGCCAATAGCATGGCGGACGTACAGCGGGCGGCGGAGCTGCAGCGCCAGTATCTATTGGAGATGATTCCGCCGCAGCAGCAGAGCGGAGCCAGCGGCAGTCGCCAGAACAATTGGAAGGCCTAAGGCCAGAAAAACCCCAGCAATGCCAACAACAACAGGAACAACAACAGCAGCAGCAACAACAACAACAGCAACAACAGCAACAACAGCAACAACAACAGCAACAACAACTATTCTTATGGTTTTCTTGATTAGGCAATTTTATAATTTAAACAGAAAGAAAAGAAAAGAAACAAAACAAAACAAAACAGAAGATGCAGAAAAAAGAACTAATAAGAAATCATTAAATATACACGTAATTATTAATTAAACAATAATTATATAGAATTATACACATAATACACCATACAACTGTTAGTAGTTTCCTTTTTTTTTTTTTACCACTTATCCTTGATTTATAATACAATAAAACAAGAGCGCAAACCAAGCCACGAATATATGTAGGAACCGATAAATGAATGAATGCAAACAACCTTTAAGCTCCTATTAATTGAATATATTAAATATGAATAATAATGAATGCTAGCCGTAAGACGAACTGCCCCGTTTTCTAGGGGCACACCACATCCATCCCCTATTCACGCCCGACACCCCCCCAACAGACGATTTTGTAATTGTTAACTCTTTTTTTTGTGGGTAAATGATTCCCATTATCCGAATTGGTAGAGAGATCAACCATTTTGTCGTACAATTTATTTAGGATTTACCAGTCGCTTCGTGACTAAATCTATAAATATATAAATTATATTTTTTAATCAATTTTAAGTATGACTAGTATTAGTTGTAAACAAATTTTTTTAGGGTATAATAAATTACAGAAAACAATTACACCAAGTCTTGCATTGCCAGCCTACAACCATATACATCAATCATAAATCATAATCAGTTCCGACTAAGTCCTTACCATGCCTTATATCCATGTTACAGCTCCAGTTTGAAGTTAGTACTGTTATTTAATTGAACCAGAACCAGGACCCAGAACCCAGAACACCCTTTCTCCCCTGATATCTTCAGAACTCTTAGGAAAGATCTTTCTACTTCAAAATACATCGAAAACTAAAAACTAATCCTTATAATATTGTATATATATCACATGAAATATCTTCGGTAAACCGAAATTTATATACTCTTCCCATTAGAACAGAACAGATCGATTTCAGAAGCGAAAGCGAAAACCTCTTCCCGTCGAATCGAATGGGAAGGGAAATTAAACATGATTATAATACCGACTGAATATTAGCATATATGCACTGTAGGAATCTAGACAGACGCAGAAGCAGAAGCAGAGGCTTGCATACATAAATCTCTATAGATAACGATATACATACATATATATATTTTTGATTTGTCGGACAAGAGAACGGACTGGGAACGGATCAGTTTGTAGAGGAGGTTTTCATTCAGGCGAACCATTCGGAAACACAAACCAAATCTCACTTTGGGCATGCGAAATCAAAATGTGATCAAAAAATATAAAATTACAACAGAAACAAAACAAAACGAAACAAAATAAAAGCAAAGCAACAACAAAAACAAAACAAAATTAACCAATTAAAATTCGTAATTTTTTTTAAGCAAAACTAAGAACTAAACAAAGCATTGTCATTCAGTCGATTCAGTGTGTATGTGTGTTTGAAATTCTATGCTAAATGTAAAACAGTATAAGAAAATATAACAGTTTTTAAACCAAAAACGGTTTTTTCGATTCAAGGACTTCTTGGGGGGTTGCTTACCCATCGGCTACGCAGAGCTATCGATTTAAGTCCATCACTAACCTTGCATACATACCCGCGCGTTATCACCTCGGTGACCATTTACGGTATTTTATATACTGTTTGGCATATTTTGACGTTGAAATTGAGTTGAAGGTATATTTACCGTATCACTTTACCGTATTTACTCATTTATTTTTAAATAATTTCTCTTTGGCGCGCACCACTTGCATCCAGTCGATAGTATCGATGGCCGAACTGCTTTCTTCGAATCGGTTATGGGCTCATCAAATAAGGCTCTCTTTGAATCGATAGAAAGATTGAGATTCATCCATAAATCTCATAAATCTCAAAATTAGCCAATCTAGTAGAAAATTGATGTATCAATCGGATAAAATTATGTGTTAAGGTGTGGTTGTCCTAGATAGATGGCAAATCGAATATCAAAATCTAGGCAAATGGTTTCCAATCCATGACGGAGAACGATTAGCCCATGGTAGACAAAGGGGGTATATTAATACGCCACCGAAAATAATGAAAATTTAATAATTTTAGCGCAGTTCAGGTGAAAGATATCATGGTTTTTTTACAGTTGAAAAGGAAGATCCCTTGGATCTACAAGAAGAAGTTACAATTAGTAATATTTTCCGCCATTTACCTCAAGTCGTTGAACTGTTTAAATAGAGGGGACTTAAGTGGGCTATCACACGAGACTTTATAGTGTTGTTGAGGAACAAAAATTGAGTCGACAAAAATCAAAGTCAAGTATTCAACAAGTCAATCAAGTAGAAAATTGATTCACTAATCGAATACAATTATGTGGGCACGGCTTAATGTTCTATCTAGCTAATAATATTTGACGGAATATCAAAAACGAGGAGTATGCATGATGGAACTTGGGTAATTCGTCAGTATATTCACGGTATATTTTCAACATTAAACGGGACGTTTCGGTATATTTTTAAGGGTCGATAAATCCGCGGTCACACTGATCAAAACGTTTTCATTGAGGAATTTTTTTGTTGTTTCTTTCGTTTTTCGGCGAAATTTTAGTTTAAAATTAATTCTTTTCGATTAGAAATATCATAGAATGTCCGATGATGACGATATACAATACATCAAACGGCAGCGAACCATCCACTACGGTTCGCTAGAAGAGACGGAGCGCAAGCGGCAAAATGCCGGCGGCGCGTCGTCTGCAGCAAATGCGGCAACAGCCGCATCAGCCACAACGCCGTCCCAAACATCGGGGGCGGCTGCGGCCACACCAGCGGCCACTGCACCTCCTGCCCAGCTGGAGGACATCGAATCGGATGAGGATTACGAGGAGCCCAGCAAGAAGGTAAGCAGCACAAAAGCCAGCCTCCCACCCCCAACGGCGGCCTCGTTGGCCAACAAAATCAACGATGACTACTTTGATCTTGAGACTGAGATGGAGCGCGATAAGGTGGCGCTTCTGGAGGAGTTCGAGCGGAAGAAGAGAGCCCGTCAGATAAACGTGTCCACGGACGATGCGGAGATCAAGAGCAATCTCCGTCAGCTGAACGAGCCCATTTGCTTTTTCGGCGAGGGTCCGGCGGAGAGGCGACGCCGCCTCAAGGAGCTACTAGCCAATCTCGGCGATAATGCACTCAACAAGAAGTCAGAGGAGGAGGAGCGCAAGATGCAGCAGCGCGAACAGGAGGCCACATGGTATCACGAAGGACCCGAGACATTGCGGGTATCACGTCTCTGGCTGGCGGACTACTCGCTGCCGCGTGCTCGCGATCGTCTGATGCGAGCTCAAGAAGCTCTCGTCGTACCCAGTGCCACGCGGGCTGGTCGCATGGTGGAGATGCAAAAGAAGCTTCAGTCCTTAGCTCCTCTCTGCTCTCAAGTGGGCGACACGCGGCCCGTAAGCGGTGTCGCCTTCAACGAAGACTCGACGCTCCTGCTGACCTCGTCGTGGTCGGGCCTTTGCAAACTATGGAGCGTGCCCGACTGTGAACTAAAGCAGACCTTGCGTGGTCATGCTAGCTATGTTGGAGGAGTGGCCTTGCGGCCGGGCGTCAAGGCAGATGAGGAGAATGTGGTGGCCATGGCATCCGGGGGCCACGACGGCGCCGTCAAGCTGTGGGGCTTCAACAACGAGGAATCGATTGCCGACATCACGGGCCACATGCCGCATCGCGTTTCCAAGGTTGCGTTCCATCCATCCGGACGCTTTCTGGCCACAGCCTGCTACGACTCCAGTTGGCGGCTTTGGGATCTAGAGCAGAAGACTGAGGTGCTGCATCAGGAGGGGCATGCCAAGCCGGTCCACTGTCTGGCCTACCAGTCCGATGGCAGTGTACTGGTCACAGGCGGCCTCGATGCCTTCGGGCGCGTCTGGGATCTACGCACCGGACGCTGTATCATGTTCTTAGAGGGCCACCTTGGCGCCGTCTTTGGGGTGGACTTTTCGCCCAATGGCTTCCACATTGCCACCGGGTCGCAGGACAACACTTGCAAGATTTGGGATCTGCGACGCCGCCAGCCCGTCTACACCATTCCTGCTCACACCAATCTTATTGCGGATGTCAAGTACCAGCAGGATTGTGGCAGCTTTTTGGTTACCTGCTCCTACGACTCGACCACCAAGATCTGGTCGAATAAGACGTGGCAGCCGCTCAAGACTCTCCAGGGCCACGACAACAAGGTCATCTCCGTGGATATATCGCCCAATTCGCAGTATATAGCCACCACATCATTCGATCGCACCTTTAAACTCTGGTCGCCCGATAGCTGATTTTTCATATGATTCATTTTTTTTTCATTTCTTATGGTTTATGATCGGACATTTCTGTCCCATAAGCCCTCACACACTCTCCCACAACCCCACTGTTTTCGTTGAATTACAGAGACTCTTCTAATAGCCAAAACATTTTCAAGTTTTCGTTTTTGTATAACACAATATGTTGTTTTAATTAGGCGAAAGGCGGCATCGCATCCAAGACAATGCTGTTCGTAAATTTAAGGATTTTTTGTATAGAAATTGTTAATAAAAAACAAACATTTTTGGTATAAATCGATTGCGTTTTCCGATGGTTTTATAAATTTTGAGTTGTACTAAAAGCCTGATGTGGATATTGCCTGTGCCACAGATTTTCGTGCTTTTGTACTGGGTGTTAATATAGAATTTATACTACTTTAGAGGTAGCTTTAGAGGTATAAATGAGACTCAAAATCATTTGTTTGTATATAGTTTTCAATTTAATTTCTTTTCGTATATTCTTGTTGCTGCTTTTGCGGTTGTATGACAAACTTAGACATTTAATTTGAATTTTAACTAAAATTTAACTACCACAGATAGGTTGCAATTACATACATACATACAATACATGTAAATGTACTATGTAAATGTAAATGTCTAGTGTATAACTCGTAATTACAGTTACATATGTATAAGTATAAAAAAAACATACATACATACATACATACATCAGATACACCAGATATAGCTGTTACATATACATATATAGTAGTTATACATACAGATTTATCAATTTTTCTGGCCATTTTGCACAATTTTCGATCATTTATCGGTATATATATATATGTATATATATATATGTATTGATAGTGTTTCTACAATTACATTTTCTTCGATCCTTTTTTCGACTATAACGTTGAGATTTACACAGATTTCAAAATCGTATTCCCTAGGTCCTACGAGTATGTAGAATAGGGAAGAGAAGGAGAGGGGTATGGGTATGGGTATGGGTATATGCCACTTAACTAATTACATAACTCTTGCACTAGGCTAAAAAACTAGACAAAATGATAACTAATTAACAATTAAGGTTTAACGTTTATTGGAAATCTTGCAGAGTTCCTGCAATGCTTGTCTGTGTCCCGTCCTGTCCCATCTGATCCCGCCCCAGATCCCGCCTCTACCTAGACAGTGGTGTCCGGTGCCGGGGTAATGGGCTGCTTCGACTCGGACACATCTAGGGACCGGCCATTGGCCGCTGCCGCTCCTTCCTGTGGGTCTTCGGGTGCGATATCAATGCGATGCGCCTTGCGCCACACCACCAGATCCATCAGAAAAGCCAGAAACATGATGCCGGCCGTGATTCCTAAGATAAGAAAAGGTTTACAAGTGGATAACGGAAGATTAAATAATGATAAGTAGAACGTTCACTCACCTAAGAAATAATGCCTGAAAGTATCCGCATCGTAGAGCGAGCAGGCACCGTGCTTGCCACACACAGACTTCCAGATGAGGCACGCCGAGTCGACCACAGCCCCATAAATGATCGGACAAGGAACATTCCCGAATAAGCCAATGGCAGACTGTATCACACCCATGGCCATGGCCTTGTCTGCAAGTCATAAGAGTATATAGTTTACCGATTGATCTAGATATACTGGTAGGTATAATGTATGTGAGACGTACCTTTCGGATGTGTACAGCGCATGACGAGCAGCATACTGCCCACCTCGGAGGTGGAATGCATAAATACGCAAATGGCAAAGATCAGTATAAAGTAGATGAAGTTCTTGCAGTTATTATCACAGTAACCGTTGACCGCCTCCGCAGCTGAAAGTTCCAGAGATCGTTAAAGACCATTAAGTAGCTTAGGAAAATTGGATTTTGGATAAGACTCACCATCTGGAATGCAAGCACAGTTCGAGTAGAGTGTGCGATTGTCGCTGGGCCGCAGCGAGGAGGTGCTGCAGCCGGCATGGCAGGCCGATATATACATCGTCCCATCGGCACAGATCGGTGCAAAGTTCTCCTTATCACAGGTACAGTTTATTGCTGCGCTGCAAGTGGGCTCGATCAGAGCGGGACTGGGGGAAAGATGGAGCGTTAAGAGATGGCTAAAGATCCATTCTGATGTGAATATATCACCTGTGGGCATTGCCAGCCTTGTAGCCGGAAAAGTCATCCATGCTGCAGCCAATAAACATCAGGATGATCATGCCCGCCGAATAGACCAAAGCGGTAAAGGCAATCCAGGCGGCCACGCCCTGGGCCGTTGGCTTGCGCTTCAGTATGAACAGACCAGAGATGACAATGCCAATGCCCATGACCAGGATGCCGCAGAAGGCGGCAATCATGTTGGCATCGTAGGTGGCCAGCCGAAACTGTGTCTCCAGGTACTTGGGCAGGAACGTGTACAGGCCGGCAATGGGCAGTAGATGGAACACACAGGAAGCAGTGCGGAACATCAGTATATCGTTGCTCAGCTGCCGCCGCACTGTCTTGGGGAAATCTGTAAAGATGGAGATGGAGAAGAGCACTTAGCAAATCGAATGATTGCGGATCGCATACACTTACCCTTGAGCTTGGGCTTCTCCTCTGGCTCGGGGGCAGCTGCCGCAGCGGCCACCACCTGGGCCTGGGTCTGCTGCTTTCCCCGCAGCTGCTTGGGGAACGAGAACATGGCAATGGAGGTTAACAGCATTAGGCTGCCAATGGCCACGGGTCCCAGCCACCAGGCGCCAATCCAACGCGGATCGGTGGCATCGAAGCCGGGATTCGAGAAATTCACGTACCAGCGCGTGCAGAAGCTGCCAAAGATGAAGCCGGAGGCGGGTCCAAGGATCCGCATGCCAATGGTGACGGCCATGTACATGGGCGACTGCTTGCTGCCGACATTGTCATCGATGTAGGGTATTCCGAGGGTGGCCACGGCCGTCTGGCCAATGCCAGAGCTGAGCAAACTGCCAAAGAAGATGCACAGGACGATGACGGTGATCTTCGAGTGGGAGGCCTGCTCCAGCTGCCGCTCCTCGTTGCACTCGCTACCGGCCAGCGAACCATTACCGCCCAAATGGCAGAGATTCGGATTCAGCATCTCTCGGGTGGCATTGTGCCACATCAAAGACGACGATGACTCCGATCGCGCAGGGAGCACCTGTTGCTGCTGCTGAAGGATCACGCTGGAGTGCATCAGCTGCTCCCCGAAGATAAAGTGGGGCAAGGCACAGGCAAAGGCGGCAATCGAGAATAACACCATGCCGCAGGCAATCCAACGGGGGCGATGGCCCCGTCCCGCAAAATACGTGAGCAGCATGGCCGTGCAGATCTGGCCCATCTCGCTGGCGCTCAGCAGGAAGCCCGTGGTCTTGGACTTGATCTGGAATAGCTTCTCGATCGTGGTGATCACCGACACAAAGTAGGTCATATACATGCCCTGCAGGATGTACGCCAGCAGGAACACCACCATGAACACGTGCGTCGAGGCAAACCGACGCGCCCATCTCGGCCGGCAGCCGAACAGCCCGCAGCTGGAGCCCTCGTCGGCGCCCCCATTGAGGTCCGAATCAAAGTCGTCCGACTCCTCCGATTCGCTGGAGCGCTTTGGCAGCTTGTAGCCCCCAGTCAGTGGTGCCTGCTCGTGGGCGTACTTCTCGCGGAGACTGTGCCCGTTGCCAGTGCCGTTGTTGTTGCTGCTCAGCAGGCCCCCGAGGCCGTTCTTTAGGTTATTGATGTCCTCCGAGGCCTTCCACTCGTTGTTGTTGCTGGGCGTGCTCTCGTACAGCACAGTGTTGCCTGTGGGCGTGGCCGGGGGGGCCTGGTTGCCCAACCCCTCGCCGTTTGTCTGATTGTGCTGGGCGAGAAGAGGCGTAAAGGCCTGCGTGGAGTCGCGTCTTCCTCCGTTCTGATGGTAGCCATTGCCATTGCCAGTGCCGTTGCCATTGCCATTGCCATTGCTCTGGCCGTGACCATGACCATTGCTGGTCTTTGATCCTGCCACAGGCTGAGGCGTTGCCGCCTCCACATCCCCGTTGCTCTTCATTATACCTCAAGGTATCTGCTTCCTACTGGAGTTCTTTGATCAAGTACGTCTAAGGGACTTAATTGGATTCGGAGTGGAAGCGTTTGGAGAGTGCTCTGTGTAAGCGAAACTGTACCGGTTTCGTCCTGTCCTTTGTCCTTTAAGTGGTCCTGCTACTGGTTATTACCTGTTCCATTTTCCCCCCTACATTGGAGATGGACTTTCACTGGGCTTCTGGTTCTTCATTCGGTTCAAATTATTTTTTATTGGCTGGCGCCAAGCAGCAATCGAGGTAGTTTGGTTGCTCTGTTGATATATGGTTTTTTGTCCTTTCTATCAGTTTAATTTGTAGATGCTTCTTGTTGCAATATGGCAGTGCTTATCTGGTTTCAAAAAGAGCGAGAGAGAATGTCTAAAATTAGTTCATATCTTTAGAGGAATTTTCAAAGGACTTTAATTCACTTCAGTTTAAACGTGTTTGCTTACGATTGTGTATTAAGTTTACTTGTATGTGTGCGCCTTTCTTTATGCAGTAAAATATTCACAACAGAAAAAAAAAAACATAAAACGAGCGGGATCGTTTATACCCGACAGTTTATACCCAACAATACCCAGCGTTTATACAACATATTTTATACGTAATTGGGTTATCTTTGATTGGTTAATGCAGATCCCGATCTCTAACAATTTTGGTTGCACTTCTTATGATAGTCGAGGAAAAAATAAAGAGAAAGAAAGGAGCCCCAGCCCCTATTTATGTTCTAATGTTAATTTTTGAACTTCATTTGTCCCCTTTCCACTTAATGACCTATTTTATTCGAGTTTTAGGTTATTTATCCGTTTCTATGATTCCGCTACATCTGTCTCTCTCTCTTTCATTTCTGACGGCAACAACTGCTGTTATTTTGAGCTCCCCTCCGCCAGGGAGCGCACACTGCACGAGAAAGAGTGAGAGAGAGAGTGAATGAGTAAGCGCAGGGAATGGGCTGTCTCGATTTGTTCCATCTGGTTATAATCTGATCTAAACCAGATTTGGCAATCTGGTAGATATGAGCCTTCCCTATGATTCTTCACCTGTTACAGTGTGATATCACACAGTCTGGATACAAAATTTGGTTGTTGTAGCTCTTATAGTCTCTGAGATCTAAGTAATCATCGGTACGGACAGACGCACGGTCAGACAACACTATATCGACTTGGCCATTGATGCTGATCAAGAATATATACACATAATGGGGTGGAAAACGTTTCCTTTTGGGTGTTACACACATCTACTTCCATCCAAATATCTAATATGCCCCTGTACTCTTTGAGTATCGGTTATAAATATTTAAATAATGTTCGAATATATCTATGTGTAAATTGGCTATTACCTATAAAAAATTACTACTTCTTTCTATTATATAAACGTGTTTGGGGTCGTCGTCGTGGCCCGATATTGTAATTTGGGTCTTCGCCCTTTATTTTATTCAAAAGCATATGTGGCAAAGAATTAAATGTCTGACCACCAAATAGTTTCTGCACGTGCCTCCTAGTATTTATTAATACATATATATTTATTAATATTTTATTTAATTCATATTTTACACGAATCCTGTAATGTACATTTACACGTAATGTACATTTACATGTGCATGTAGATGAAGGATAACGTATACGTCATGGTGAACGGCATCTAGCTTTCTGCATAGATAAAATCTTGGCGATAGTATGATCGAAAAAAGTTATACACCAGTTGAAAGGCATTATATTTAGCTAGAAAACTGTATAGGCAAACTTTTGATCAGTTCCATGCTATATGTGAGGTCTCATTATTAAGATTATTAGAGCTATTGGAAATAAAGCTTTTTACCGTTTTTTTTTATACTAGAACACTTTTATTTTACAAAAATTAGATTGCTCTCACTTTTCGTAAATTAAATTAATCTAAAAAAAAATAAATACATATATTTTGTTCTTCAATAGGAGCACAGAACCGCAAGCATTGGAAAATTAAATGAAACTAAGGCAAATGAAACTCCATGAAAGACTGCACAAAAAAACGGAAGTATATAGAGCAGAGGAGGGGTGAGAGCTGGAAACAGAACAGCTTATCAGCCTCACGCATAAGTATGTGTGCACTGGAGGACTGACTGGAAACGGCATTAAAAACGCAGTCGCCTATATGTGTGTACATACATATGTAGAGCACAGTACAGTACAGCACGCGACAAAATGTTAGGCGAAAGCCATAAATGACCAGAAACAGAACATTATACCTATATTTTTCGACAAATTAATAGCAGCAAAAGAATTCAAGGTTGAGACTGATAAGGATTTCCCATTGGATTGATTTCATTCATGTACTCTTTTAATGATTATGAGGTCCTCTAAACATTTTTAATCAATTTATTTCGTATTTCCATAAACTAATTCTAATTCCATACAATTATTCTCTATATGTATAATTGTATCAAGACTCTTACCAAGTGATCTTATAATTATGCACCATAAATACGCATTTGCTGAACAAATATTAAAACAGTTTGCCAAAGTCCCATTCGGCTCGTATCTCCCATTGCCTTGCCGTTTTTTTTCATACAACAAATTTTTCAATGTCAAATATTCGCCAAAAAATTGTTGTTTCTAAATTTTATTTGTTTTGACATACTCACAAATATCTGTCCGTGTGTGTGTGTGTGTGTGTGTGTAAGGGTATAAAAAGTCATGACTGAATATAATTTCACTTTCCGTCGCAGTGCAATCGCAATCGGAATGGCAGTGCCGCCTGCACTCCGCGAATCTTATCAGTGGTAGCGACCTCGCTGATAAGGAAAGTGAAATTTCTTTGGGTGTATGGACAGAGTGGAGTGGTGCGTGGCAGAGAACTGCAGCCATGGGGCAGGGGCTAGAGGCTAGAGGCAGGCGTCATAAACTTTGGCCTTGACTCTGGCGTTGCTGTTGCTGCTGTTGTTGCTTCTGATGGCTTCCCTACTTCTCTTTTTCTGTATTTATTTATTGCGCATTTTGCGCTTTTGATTTCTGTTTGAAATATGTATGTATGTATAAGTATGTACTGTACTTTGCTGCTGCGGTTGTGTGTGTGGTGTGCCGCTGGAATGTATTGCTTTTGCCTCGAATTATTTATGCACAATTAGGGATCTTGGAATGGAAAGAGCACGTGCTTAATTAGCAATTCTGATCTGGTAATGCGATCAAGTCGATTGGGAGGAGGGAGGAGGGAGAAGGATGGTTGCACAGCGGAAAAGCTAAAGGAAATTGGTTAAAAACATTCTGCATATCGGTTAATATAAACATTTCTGATAATTATACATTTTCTAATCATTTATAATACAAACAACATGAAAAGTACCTACGCCCAGAGAAAAAGCCCTGAACTTTTAATAATTAAGCTTACATTTAAAGATGTTTGAAAAAGAATGTGTTCTAAGTTAAATTTTGACATTAACATGATTTCTACAATTTGAATATATAATATAGATTTAAAAAAACTTTTTTATAAACTTGTGATGCATTTATTTAAAAGTAAATTCTATTTAATTTCACTATTTTTTATATTTAATCACCGAATATTTAATTGAAATATGGTTGTATTTTTCTTACAATGCCATTTTTCTATGAGTGTAGACATGATAATGCCTCTAACTCTATCTCTATCTCTATCTCCATCCGTATCTGCTTGTCTTATCTTTCTTCACACTTTCCCACAGTGTGTGCGATCGCTATCCCCACTGCCATCTCCCAGCTGCCTCAATCTACAGGTAAGGTATGGTAAGGTAAGTGTAAGGTGACGTAGATGGCCACAACAAAGCGAGTACTTTAGTACTCAGCCCCCACTTATCGCTCTGGCCATCGTCAAGTAATCTCTCTCTCTAGCTCCGGTCGCTCTTCCAACAGAGAGTGGTTCAGGCTTATCCCTGAGATCCGAGGCAGGAGGAAGGAGTCTGGGTCCAAGTCTGAGGTTAAAACTACTGCAGTTACCAGTTTTAGTTGCAGCTAAGGCTCATTGAACCCGCCACCGAACGGGGAACCGGGCAACAGGGCATCCGGGCATCGCTGGGGCAGGCTGTGAACTATTGTACATATGGCCTGGTATGGCTGGTTATATAAGTGTTAGACCATCTATTGGCTTTAATTTGGCTTGATGGATGGTTAATTGTTCAAATTGCTGCAAGTGTTCACAGATGACAGCCAGATGATGGCCGATTTATCAGTGTCAATCATAATAAATGCAATTAAACCACCCCGTTTACGAAACTACCGCTTTCAGATTGAAGAAATAGACAGATAGATACGGGTGGCGAGCGACACAGGGACAGAGACGGAGACAGAGAGTGGGCTGGATAGATCGATATGTAGATTGAACCAGAGGTTTCCATTTCAATTGAGCCTCACAGCTATCGCATTAGGAACGATGTGAGAAAAACGACGCCTGATTTTACACCGTACTACAATTTCGAGCATTAATTAAGCCGAAAATGGTATAAAAAGTAGACAAATATTATGAAAGCTTTTCAACAGAACAGTTTCCTGAGTAATCAGATATACGTAGATATGTATGTATGTTCATATGTACCTCTTTCATTATCCTCTATATTTATGTTTTTAGAATTGATTTAATAATTATTCATGTAAAAAGCTCTTTACTTCAATCTATTACTGAAACACTACAATTTGTAATTAACATTTTTTAAAAGATTAAATCATTTAAGAACTGTTGTTTAATATTATTTTTATCATATATTATTTTTTTCATACAAATTTATTTATACTATTTTTTGTTTACTATGTTCTTAAAAGTCCCTTTATATTCTTTTGTTCCATATCCAAAATATTATCCCAAAAAGATTGGCTCCGATTGGCTGTTGGTCTAGTGTAAATAGAATCTCATGGGTAGGCACCAGAGGAGGCTTACCGAGGGGCGGTGGGGGGTACTTTTTCTTTGCTCAATGCGTGTTGATTTTCCGGTTTTCGTGGCAACTTGCAACTTGCAACATGTCTTCCCGCTTCCCGCTTTCCTCTTCCGCCTTCCGTCAGAGCTGCTGCGCCGACTACGTAACTGAGTTATGTATGCCTTTGTATGTGTATGAGTGTATCAATGTGTGTTTGTGTGTGTGCGCTGGTGTGCATTTGAATTGCGCAAGCGCAACTATTGCAAATTGCATACCAAGCAGCTCAGTGGCTGTGGCTGCAGCAGTGGTTGTGGCTGCTGCATGCCAACATGCAACAAAACCAGACACGCGGGCAACGCGTTGACTAGACGCTGACAGGGGCCGCCGTAGCAGCAGCGGCCGCAGCCGCAGCCGCAGCCGCCACAAAACAAGTGCAAAAGCCGCAGAAGAAAGCCTGAACAATGGCCAGAAGCAGCATTGAAAGTAAATTGCAGACCCCAACCAGTCCCCAGATGCCTCTCTTTCCAGATCCAAGTCCAAGTTTAAGTCGGAGCTGGAGATGGAGGTGGAGCTGGAGCTCTCGAGCTGGGGTTGAAGCTGGGTCTCTCAAGCCAAGTGGAAAGAGCTTGGAAAAAGTGGTTTGGCCACATTTCACTTTTAGCATAGAAACAATTTAGAACTTGTCTGCATTTGCGGCTGCTGTGGCTGTGGTGTTTGAGGTTTGTGCTATCTGAGATGGATGGATCTTTACAGAGAGATTTAAGTGGTAATTTTTGGCAGAGCAAGCGGGTCTTAACACAGAACAGAACTACAGATAAATCTCTAGGTAATTCTATACAATTTTGGATTTGGAGAAGAGCCTTTGTAGTTCTTATTTGGGATCTAAGTGAAAGAATCTGTACTGATGATGCCCAGAGATCGCAGTTAAATATATGGATGAACCTTGGCTTAAAGATCGAAAGAACCCAGTTAAGACTGTGAACCCACTGAAATTACTGGTCAATTCTATGCCTCAGTTCGTTATTTAATTTTCTTTATATTTTGTATTTATATTTTATTAAATTTAATGTGTTTATCTGTATTCCATTTCCATTCCCGCCAGTTATTGAGTCATTCGGTTCTGTTTATTTATCTAGGGTCTCGAATTCGCTGACCAATCAGATACAGATACATTTTATACCTAAACATATATGTTTATTTGTGTGTGCGAGTATTTTGACTTTGACCTTCACATTGAGAACTGAAATTTGAACCAGAACCTTGATTTGCGTAAGCAAAATGTTAGACGACGTATGGATGGATGGATAAAAACAACAACAAAAAATTTCACAACTTGGCTTGGGACAAGCGATTATACATATATGTATGTATCTATATATATAAATATCTATATATGAATGTACTATACTTACATAGCATTTTCAGTGCTCGAAACTGCTGAGATTAATTAATTTTTTTGGAGCAGCCACTGACATGACTCAACCTTTTATTTCTATGGTATTTTTCTGATTAATTGGGTGTTGGTAATTTGTCAAATCCTATTATGGGAAACTCATCCGATTTTAAATCGCCCCACGTCAAAAAAAAGGGGGGACGGATAAAACATTTCGAGTGTGCGGATTATACAAATTATATATTTCAATGCGGATATGTTTTTTGCTCTTTTGGGAAAAAGTTTCCACTTTTTAAAGTGGAACACCCAAGTAAATGACCTGAGCAGCGCGTTTACATATGTATAGGTACTTATATATGTATGTATGTATATGCACATATATTTGCCTGATTCATGGCATCACAAAAGGGTGTGGCCTTCTTCCCGAAAAACAATGAAAAAATATACTTACGAAATGTTCAACAAAAGGCTAAAATCCAATTGGGATTCGTTGACTGGGGATATACGAGTACTCTTATGGGTATAAGTATGATAAGTATCTGAACAGACTATACGGAGAAATGTGTGTTCAAAGTATTACTCGAAGATTGACAGATACTTTCATGAAGCGAAATTGTGGAAAAAGACAGAAAAAAGAGGGAAAATGGCTACACACCCTGATAGCATCTCTGCATCAGTTGGAAAATAGTTCAAATAAAAGTATTATTTTTAGGAACTTATTCTCGACATTGTTCTGGCAAACTCTCCTTTAAATTCGATTCAATCTTCCGCTGTAGGGTATCTGACCTGCACATTGCTCACGCAAGTAAACAACTTTTCGAAATTCTTGTATCTGTACAGCGCGTACTCGTATCTGTCTGCCTGAGTGTGCATACATATATTTTATTTATTTTTTTGTGGAGCACTGCTGCTGCTGCTGTTGCTTTCCATTATGCGCGAAACAAAACTTCCTTTTTGACGGCGCTTGTTAAAAATCTGAAAAAGGTAAAAAACTGCAAAGCAGAACCAAACCAAATGAAACAAAATAAAAATAAAAAACTTCAAACCAAAAAAAAGAGAGCAGCCCAAAAAAACTAAAAAAAAAAATAAAATAAAGGAAAATTAACAAGCTCAAAATGGCAGCCAAGTGTGCATAAATTTTTGAAATGTCCGCAACAGGCAGAGCCGAAATAAAAATTCAAAATACACCAACAAAAAATCATCGAAAAAAAACAGAAGAAGACTTAATGAAATGCAATCAAAAAGGCATTCCGCGAGAACTGCATTAAGTCGGAGTCGGGCGTGGAAGTCCAGGTCCCACGTCCACGTCCACGTCCATGTCCATGTCCAGTGCAACCTCTTAACCGTTCTCAATCCCCCAGGTTCTCTGTCTCCAATATCTCCCTTCCCCGTCCACCAAGTATCTGGCGTGAAGATCAGTACATGGCGCTGACGTGACGCTCTGGAACGTTCCAGCCGACAAAAAAGAGATGTTCAAATGTATTTCACTCCTGAATATACTACCTATATAGGCACATATATGGGATGTTGTATATTGCTCTTAAGAAATACAGAATAAATGAGAAACGGATTGCTTTCTGCTTTACCAAAGAGAACAGTTTACATTTGTCATTCGGAGCTGGCAGTGGGACCAGTTCTAAATGCCAATGAAATGATTAAATAATACAAGAATATAAGAAAATAATGAAACAAAAAAAACCACAAATAGAAAAGGGATAAACGAATGATCCGTCAGGCAATCCAGGTCTTTTAGAAACACTTATTTTCCTTATGAACCAATCAGAAATCGAATTTATTTTTAAACTCCATTGGTATTCTTTCAGAATTAAAAATAATTCCTATTTCAGAAGTTAGAAGTTGTAATTATAGTGCAAATATATAGTTTAAAGTATCATATTTTTGTTGTTTTGCTTCAGTTTACATTATGTTTTCATTATCTTTTGACCCACTGTGCTGGCTTTGTGGAGAAAAGAAACCTTGTTTCAGAAACAAGAAAAATATTCTTAATTTAAACTGAAATTTCTGTCTGATTGATTGAGCTGCTGATTTAAGCGGCTTTTCGTGCCCAGGCTCTGGACCATTGGACCCTGTGCCCTGGCTCTGTACTGGCAGCGACCATCTAAGGCTGGGAGGTGTTAACGTTAACCTGCACAAGTGGTTTTCTGAACCGAATGGTACCGTTATAGCTTTTATAAATGGCTCGCTGTCATCTGCCGATTTTCCACGTTTTCAAGTTTCGCTCGGGGATGGCGGCTAATTTGGCATAATTCATTGTAGACTCTGCATTTATTTTTCCAATTAGCGACCAATTACATACCCCTCAACCTCAACCCGGTCATGCGCAAAAAGTTTGGCTCATTTGCATAATACGAGTACGAGTATCGAGAAGAGACCCCCCCCCTCCAGCAGTTCGATTCCCATCTCAAGTATCTTCCCTCCTCGAAGTGTCAAGTGGTTCCCTCAACCGAAAGAAAACAGACACGGCCACAGTTCTGGCCATAGATACTCTCGTCTAGCCCATAGATACAGACACAGACACAGATACAAAGTCTCCTGCTCATAATTCTCATTACTCATGATTATTTGTTTATGAAAGTACTTAACATTTTTTTATGGGTTTTTTGTTGTTGTTTTTTTTTCAGTCTTTTCAATAAGCACTCCAAAAAAATTATTTCAATTGTTTAAGTAGCATACAAAAATAAAAAAAAACCCCATGCATAATTTGCTACGAGTGCGTGTTTGTAATTTTTTATTTATCTTATTTTTTTGCGATTTCTTCTTTTGTAAATTTCCACTTGCTGGCTGGACTTTTTTGTTTATCTCTTTTGGCGCCTGTCTTTTTAAGGCGTTACATTTTAAATTAGTTGTTTGACCAAAAAGAATTTGGCTGGGAGACTTTCGTTGTGTTTCTTGTTTTTCAATTTGCTTACTTGTCAGTTTTTGGGCGTTGTCGCTGTCCGTATTGGGGCTGGTAACTGAAAGTATAAGAGTTTGAGCAGGACTATTAGTAATTTTATTTGTATGGAAACCTAGTTTAAAAAGTATATTTTAAGGTTATATTCAGCTTTATTCTAAGGAATGGTAAGGACAATTTCATAGTGGAATTTTTTGTGGAAGCCTGGAAGTCACACAGCGATATAACAGTTTCCTTTCCGCTGCCGCATCCTCTGCTCAATCGCTGTACATTTATACTTGTGCCTGCTGCTTCCCATTTTCTCTCAATCGCTATCATCGTGACTCTCTTTCTTTCTCTTGATAGATATGATAGATAGATACTCACTGTTAAGAATTTCACAACAGAAGTAAAAATCGTCTTCAAATTGGCGTCAGAGACTATTCCTCTCTCTCTTTTGAGCAGTCAAGCCATCTATTTATCTATCTATCTCTGTCTAAGGCGATCGATATGCGTTCGCTAAGTTGGGTCATAAAAATTACAGCAAAAACGATTAGCAACAATTACAACAACTGCAGCAGCAGCAGAAAACAAGTTTACTCGTGTTAAAAAAATGCAACGAGCATTAAAATTACAAAAATACCAACAACAACGGGAGGGCGGGTGCAACAAGTAAAGGCTATTTAATGGGGGGGGGGGGGGGGGGGTAAGTAAAGTAAAGGCAAAGTGTACAATGAATGTAAAATGCAAATCTTTGCAGGGGCAGAGTGGCAGGGGTGGGTGGCAGCAACAAAAACTACAAAAAATAAAAGATGTACGAGCACAACTGTCTGGTCATCTCTCTCTCTTTCTCTCTCTCTCTCTCCCTAGGCTTCACCGTCTGGCGTAAATGTTACTCTGTGTGTGTGTGTGTGTGTGTGTGTGTGTAACAGAAGCAGCGGACAAGCAGCATTGCATTGAGATAGGTCAGTCACACACACGCACACGAGTGCAGCGGCAGCGCAGTTTCTGCTTCAGCCAGAGAGCTTTGATAACTGCATCAGCAGCAGAAGAGCAGCGCAGCGGCAGCGGAAGCGGCACAGCAAAGATTGGAAGAACTGCTCTAATTACGTTTGGCTAGGGGTTGGCCTCCACTTCTCAACCCCCTTAATAGTGTACACACCCCACCCTCTGCTTAATCAGAATGCAAGAATAAATAGCAGAAAATAAAACAAGTTTTTGTCTTTATTTTGGCAGAGGAATGCCTGTGTGTGTCTGTGCCATGTAAAACTTACACAATCGCAATAGCAGAGCAGAGCTGGTACACTTACACTCCTCCCTCACAGCTTGTCTTCACCACTACACATCACTCTCTCTCTCTCCCGTTCGCTCTCTCTCGATTCACTTTTCTTTGTGCAATTCCAATAATTTTGCGCACTCTCTTTGCTAAAGCTCTTTCAACTGCAGCAGCAGCAGCAGCAGAAGCAGCAGCAGCGCAGCCACAAGAGAGCAAGAGACAAAGAGAGAAACTGCATCTGGGAGAGCAGCAGCGGCTGCAGAAGACATCTCTCTCTTTACTTGCACTTTCTGCTGCACTTTTAAGTGAAAAAGAGTAGCATTTGGTAGGTTTTAAGAAAAGTTAGTAAAAAAACCACAAAGGTGCAATAGGAAAAATACAGTAGGAGCAACAGATTAAAAGCTTCTTTGAGGGACAGCTTCCTCTTGCTTAAATGTACAGAACTATATACATATGTACATACATACATGTGCATGTGGCTTCAATCTTCCATAGACATACATATGTATGTACATATGTGTATGTGTATGGGTGTTTCTGTATCTGATTTGCTTCGCTGACGCAATTACATCCCCTGACTCGTACTTTGACCTACGACAACAAATGATTAAGTGTCTGTGACAAAGAAATCGTGCCAAAATACAACCCTCAAAAGCTTTTTTTCGGCAAAAGCTTTCTCTCATATGAAAGGAGAGTAAATGGGAAGTTGGTTGGGGGGTGAGATTACAGACAGACAACATAAAACTTATTGCGCATTTACGTGGAAAAATGGTCTAGACAGGGATTTAAAGGCAGGCCGCAAGACAAAACTAACTAAAACCTGGAATCGAACAATAACTGTTATGGTGACATAATTAGTAAAATAATAGGATCAGATTAATAGGAAAATGCAGCTCCATCGTAGAATCCTATGTTTAGATCTCCGCTGTATCTGCATCGCTCTCTTCTCAGTGAGTGTGTGCCCCCCCAGAGATTTCCAAATGGAAATTCCAATTTGAAATGAAAATGAAATTATTGCAAAATCGAAGCACGCACACATGGTCGTATCTAACGGTCTCTCTCGCTCTTACTCACGCTTGTTGCACTTTCTCGTGTGTGTGTATGTGTGGTTGTGTGTGTGTGTGTGTGTATGTGCGAAGTGCATTGACTTTTCTGCCTGTTGTTATGGCTGCTCTCCTCTCCTCTACCTTGCCATGTGTGTGTGTATGTGTGGCATGCGACCAACCCACATTGCAACGGCCAATTCCAATTTGTTGTAATTTTGTCTGTGGCTGTTGTAGTTGTTGCAAAATGCAAATAGTATCATAAAGCGCAACATGTTTGCTATTTAGCGAACCATTGGGGGGTGGTATTTAAATATGCGCAATTGTGCTGGTCGGGGGCGTCTGTTTTGGCTCTCATTTGTGTGTGAATTATTTAATGAGTTCGCTTGAGTGAAAGGAAAGAGCCATGTGGGAGAGGGGTCTAACCATTTGACGCACTCTTATTTACATATAGGATTTATATACATCTGTACATTTGTACATGTGCCCTTGTAGAAGCTGTTCTTATGTGCTGTATGTTTAATGTTTAAAAAGCCATTCTTCTTCTAGGGAGATGAAATATAAAACTTATTACTTCACTGTTTTTATCATTCAGCTGGTTGGCATCTTCCACTTCTGTTACCAGTACCACTTTGCCCATTCATCATCAGTTGTCAGATTTATGGTATTACGTGTACTCACCCTACCCTACCTACACTCACATCACGTATACGCCCCGCTGTAGTCCAACAAACACTCAAGTAATCATCATAAATGTAGTCAAATGTGAGGCTTTACTTTAAGAATACCTTTCGACATTGTATCTCAAATTAGTGCATTTGCAAAGTAGAATCTGCAACATTGTATCTGCGGATCGTTCTGTTGAACAGCGAAAGGAGATGGAAAGAATGGATGTTAAAAAACTAGTTTAGTAGGAATTGCGATGGATTGCATTGTGTGGCCACAGAGTTACGTGGTATTTAATTGAATAAATGAGATGGAACATATTGCCCGTACGACTGACTGATGGGTCCAGGCCCGGGAAAATGTGTGCTAAATTGATTGAGAGCTGCCCCGGGGGGGAGAGGGAGGCTGGGAGGCTGCCCGGCACAGTGAGTGCCATAAATTAACGGACAAACATGAAACAAGTCTACTTAGAGTTGCATATCGTATAATTTTTACAAAAAAAAGATAGCCAAAACGAAGACAGAAAGCGAAAACTGGGTCAACCTGATGCACAGAGAGGCCTGCCTGCCTACGCAGCCGACGTTCACATCGCGGCGCGTCGCGGCGCGTCGCTGTTGCTGTCGCTGTCGCTGTCTATCCGGCCCCACAGAGACGTGGCAAATATGTAACTCAAAAAGATATGCAGCAGCTGTGGATGTACATATCGTACATGTACTCGTAGAGCAGTGGATGTGGATGTACAAGCCGAAAAATAAAGTAAAACCGTAACCCACGTTTCGCTTCATTTGCTCTCGCGATGGAAAAGTAAGTAAAAACGGCAGCTACACGACGCCAAATTTATGTCTGTTTGGATTTCACCCACGCAGCAGCAGCAGCAACAGCAGCAACGGTGGCATGGGGCAGTCGTAACAGTGGCAATAACAGAGAGATAAAACCAACAGCAGAGGACATCTTAATAGCATCAACAGAACCTGTATCCCGCATGGAGAATGCGGGGAGGGACAAGCTTCTGGATAAGCTTCCAGAATTCCAGAAACTAACAAAAAAAGGTACAGGGAAAGCTCCGTAATGGTGGAAATATTAATAATCTGCTTAATGGATGGATATTTTAGCAACTGTTACTGTACTGCAAGTGAGAGTAACAGACGTGCAGAGAGCGAGCGAGAGCGAGAGGGAGAGGGAGAGGGAGAGAGAGAGAGACTCTGTCCACAAAGTCGTGATTCCGCCTGCCGCCACCGCCTGGACCAGCGTTCACTTTCAAAATCAGTGAAATGTAACCAAAAAAACAATAAAAAAGAAGAGTGAATTGATGTTGCATTGTGTTCGGCTGTCTGTTAGCTGTTTGCATTATTCACTTGGCTTACAAATAGAGGTTAATTTATTATGACTTGATTGAGCCGAGAGCAGGCGCATCAAATATGCAAGGCAAGAGAAACTGCAGTTGGGGAAACCCACTGCGGTGCATAAATTATACAAATATTATGAAGATAACACACAAGGATGCAGGCTTTATCATCTATGGGAACTCTGTAAAAGTTTACGAGTCTGTCTGAATTCATCTTTGGGGGAATTCCCCTGCGTTGCCTGGACTCCAGACTACTGGAGATCTGGCAACTCTGTGAAAGCTACCCTCAAAGAAAAAATGGAGCATGACTCAGAGATCCGATGCTCTTGATTGTACGAATGGCACGGCCCTACCGCAAATGCAAAGGGCATGCCAAGCCTTAATGGTCGAGAGCTGTTCATGTTATTGGAATCAATTACAATGATCCAGAACTCCAGACATACATAAATACATACACATACATATGTACATAAGTACATACATATGTACATGTGTATCCATGCTGTCGGAGGCAGATAAACATCCGAGAGGGAAGGAATGCAATCGTTGCAACCGACAATGACCTTCGGGGCTGCTGATCTGACATTGAACACTGGACGGACTGGCCTGCAGATGGAGGGGTGGTACGCATTTGTGCGCGTGTATGCGTTATGTATTGTACGTACAAGTTAACGTACCCAATTCCATTGAGCTCTTATACGAGTTGTAAACAATCTTTGGTTTTCCAAAACGAAAACAATTTCAATCTTGGG